TCCTTTGGTGGCCCACGTAGGTTGTGGAAATGCTGCTCTAGCTGGTATTACCTGTTCGGAGACTCTTCCACCAGGTCTTCCTCTTTCTCACAACCCCGTTGTCTTGGCGGAGAGGAGGGGGCTCGGCGGTCAAGGTGCAAGGCACACAGTTCCCCTTGGCCTGGAAGCCTTGGGGGGCGATTTCTGCCACGCACAGGGCGTGTTTTAGTGTGGCGTTGTTAAAGTCTGGTCTGCTTGGAAAAGCAGATCTCATTTGAACCCCGCCCGAGATTGTGCCAAAACCCGTTTGTGGAAGGAAAGGTGAATTGAATTCACTTGATTTGATCAAGCGTGATGGCTTGATTCCACAAGGAATTTGCCTCCGGCGCAGAAGCTCTCCATCTTACATGAAAAGCGACAGAGTAATGGTCAGTCGTAACACGGGCAGTCCTTGACTTATGACCGCAATGGAGCCCTCAAAACTCTGCTGTTAAGTGAGCTAACTGAGTTTTGTCCCATTTTACGACCTTTAACTAGTTGTTTAAATGTTTAATGTTTAATGACGTATCAGCTGCAACTAGTTGCAGCTGATACGTCATTAAATGAACCTTGGCTTTCCTGTTAACTTGGTTTGTCGGAAGGTCGCAGAAAGGGGAATCACGTGAGCCTGGGACACGGGCAACTGTCATAAGTACACGCCAGTTGCCGAGCATCCACATTTTGATCACCAAGGTCGTAACTGCGAAAACGGTCGTAAATCACTATTTTTTCAGCCCTGTTGTAACTTTGAATGCTCAGTAAAGGAACTGTTGTAAGTTGAAGACTACTAGTAATAATAATGCTATAAGAAGGGGAGAGTAAGAAAGATAAGGCTCGATGATTATTATGATGATAATAATAATAATAGAACAATTAACCAGTGGAACAGTTTATCTTAAGAAAGATAAGGCTTGATGATGATAATAATAATAATAATTAATAATTAACAACAACAACAAAACAACAACAATAATAGAACAATTAACCAGTGGAACAGTTTATCTTAAGAAAGATAAGGCTTGATGATGATAATAATAATAATAATTAATAACAACAACAACAACAACAACAACAATAATAGAACAATTAACTAGTGGAACAGTTTATCTTAAGAAAGATAAGGCTTGATAATGGTAATAATAATAATAATAATAATAATAATAATAATAATAATAATAATAATAATAATATAATAGCACAATTAACCAGTGGAACAGTTTATCTTAAGAAAGATAAGGCTTGATGATGGTAATAATAATAACAAAGGTTTACCCAGAGCAAAGAAATCAAAGCCTTACCAGAAGTAATTCAGAATGTAGAGGCAAACCAGGGGGAGTTGGCAGTGAAGGAATCTAGCAGAGATATACAACTGTTCTCATTTGCACCTCTACCTCAGGAATAACAAAACCCTCTAACTAAAGAAATAAAAGAATTGAAACAAAGAATAACGTCATACCTGCAAATGCTAGCACCATTGATGCTTTGCCTAAGTTAACTAATGTTGCAGTTATGAATACCGGAAGGTGCACCGCTAGATAAGATCAGCAAGGATCACATCACGCTGAGCCTGGGACACTGGAAATAATAAAGCAACAACTATGAAAATCATGAAGTACAGGCAGCCAGTTGCCGAGCATGACCACATTTATGGGATCAAAGAAATACAACAAGGATCGATAACAGAAGTTGAAATGAAAGAACTAGTAATAACAACGGTAGAAAAAAGAGCAAAGAAAATCAAAAATTGGTCAGCACCAGGTGAAGATGAACTGCATGGGTTTTGGTTGAAACATCTAACTGTTATACACCCACTCATTGCCAACAGTTCAACAATGTACTACAAGGAGGAGAAATTGAAAAGTGGCTAACAACTGGGAAAACCTACCTAATAATGAAAAATCCAGCAAAAGGGGCAACACCAGGTACTACAGGCCAATTACCTGCTTACCAACAACTTTCAAATTACTAACTGGTGTGTAGCTGATGTATCTAGTTGAAAACAATCTCTTTCCACCTGCAGAGGAACAAAAGATCAACTCCTAATAGACAAAATGATCTTGGAAAACTGCAAGAGAAGGAAGACCAACCTGAATGTTGCATGGATTGACTACAAAAAGGCATTTGACTCTCTGCCACATGATTGGAGTGCCTAGAAATAACAGGAGTCAGTAGAAACATCAGAAAATTTGTGCAAAGATCGATGGCACAATGGAAGACACAGTTGCAGATCAATGGTTGGGAGAGGTTAATATGAATATTTCAAGGAGATTCATTATCACCATTACTATTTGTTATTGCACTGTTTCCTCTGTCAACAATACTGAATAACTCAGGACATGGCTATCAAACATCAAAAACATCTTATCCACCTCCCTGAAGCTGTATGGAAAAACATCATCTGAAATAGAATTGCTCAACACTGTCCGTATATATAGCCAAGATATTGTAATGGATGGACAAATGTGCCACACTTACTATCAAACAAGGAAAAATATGAAAACTGAAGGAATCAAGATGCCCCACGAAAATAAATTAAGAGTCTGGATGAGGAAGAATACTACAAATACTTGGGTATCCTTCAAGCTGACAACATCAAGCACACTGAAGTCAATACATCAAGAGAGTGAAGAAGATCTTAAAATCCAAACTCAATGGAGGAAATACCATAAAGGCAATCAACACCTGGGCAATCCCAGTCATTAGGTACACAGCTGGAATAGTGGACTGGACTCAAGCAGAACTAAAAGCAATGGATAGGCAGACCAGAAAAATAATGACAATGAATCATGCCCTTTATCCACGCAGTGACATTGATAGACTTTATCTACCAAGGCAAATAGGTGGGCGTGGAATGCTACAAGTACATCAGATGGTTGAAGAAGAAAAAATGGCTTTGGAGAATATCTGAAGAACAATGATGAAGATGCACTGAAATTAGTATATCAGGAAGGCTTACTAACTACTGGAGAGACCAAACTGGCCTACAAGAAAGACCAAATGAAGAACAGAATAGAGGCATGGGAAGACAAAGCACTACATGGCCAATACATGAAAAAAATAGCTGGGAAAGCAGATAACAATAAAACCTGGCAATGCTAAGAGCAGGAAAATTGAAGAAAGAGACCGAGGGACTAATTCTGGCTGCACAAGACCAAGCCTTAAGACAAATGCATACAAAGTCAAAATTGAGAAGACAGCAACAGACAGTAAGTGCCGCCTATGCAAAGAAGCTGAAGAAACAGTGGACCACTTGGTAAGCTGTTGCAAGAAGATTGCACAGACTGATTACAAGCAGCGGCATGACAAAGTATCAACAATGGTGCATTGGAAGATCTGCAAAAAATATCATTTGCCTGTAAGCAAAAACTGGTGGGATCATAAAATAGAGAAAGTCATAGAAAATAAAATTAAACTGCTCTGGGACTTCAGAATTCAAACAGACAAGCACCTGCAACATAACACCCCAGCGATAAGAAAGACAAAAAAGTCTGGATAGTGGACGTGGCAGTGCCTGGAGATAGCAGAATAGAAGAGAAAGAACTGGAGAAGATAACAAAATACAAAGACCTACAAATAGAAATAGAAAGACTGTGGCAAAAGCAAGCAAGGGTAGTACCAATAGTCATAGGCTCCTTGGGTGCAATCCCAAAACAACTGGAGCACCACTTGAACACCATTGGCATTGACAAATTCTCTATTAGTCAATTGCAAAAGGCGGCCTTATAGGAATTGCTTCCATCCTGCGACGATATCTGTAATACCATCAAACATCCACATCTGCCTATCCCAGGTCCTGGGTAAGGACTCGATAGGTAGACAAAATGCCAAATCCAGTCTGAACATCTGGCTGACTGTGCGATGATCGATAATAATATAATAGAACAATTAACAATTAACCAGTGGAACAGTTTATCTTAAGGAAGATAAGGCTAGATGATGATATTATTAATAATAATTAATAATTAACAATAACAACAAAACAACAACAACAATAATAGAACAATTAACCAGTGGAACAGTTTATCTTAAGAAAGATAAGGCTTGATGATGATAATAATAATAATAATTAATAACAACAACAACAACAACAACAACAATAATAATAATAGAACAATTAACCAGTGGAACAGTTTATCTTAAGAAAGATAAGGCTTGATAATGGTAATAATAATAATAATAATAATAATAATAATAATATAATAGCACAATTAACCAGTGGAACAGTTTATCTTAAGAAAGATAAGGCTTGATGATGGTAATAATAATAATAATAATAATAATAATAATAATAATAATAATAATAATATAATAGAACAATTAACAATTAACCAGTGGAACAGTTTATCTTAAGAAAGATAAGGCTAGATGATATTATTAATAATAATAGAACAATAATTAACCAGTGGAACAGTTTATCTTCAGAAGTTGTGGGTGCTCCAAAGCTGGAGGTTTTTAAGAAGAGATTTGACAGCCATTTTGTCTGGAATGGTCTAGGGTTTCCTGCCTGAGCAGGGGGTTGGACTAGATGACCTCCAAGGTCCCTTCCGACTTTTTTTTATTATTAACAACCTGCCTCCAGAAGCGGTGAATGCTCCAACACTGGAGGTTCTTAAGAAGAGACTGGACAGCCATCGGTCCGGAATGGTGTAGGGTTTCCTGCCTGAGCAGGGGGTTGGGCTAGATGATCCCCCCCCCCCAAGGTCGCTTCCCACAGGTGGTCTCAATACCACACAAAGGTGCAAGCCATAGCTTGATTTATTTATTTATTTATTTATTTATTTATTTTACAAAGGAGACATCCCTCACGGTCTGTTTGCAACGCTTCCACTTTGCATCTGTTTCCTTCCTGACTGACCCGTCTTTTCTTTCTGGACAGTTGCTGGGCAGTTTTCACCCTTTCCTCCTCTCTCCTCCTCTCCACAGCCGGTGCAAGGCGGACGTGCAAGGCCGCGTTCCAGCTGTGGCGGCTTGCCCACGTGGGCTTGAAGGGAGGGCGAGGCCAAGTCTGGGCGGGCCTGAAAAGTGCCCTGGCAAGCAGGTTTAAAGCAGGCTGGGCTGCTGCTAATTATCCTGGGTTGCAGAAGGCGGGCCGGCTGGTTGTGTCTCCACAGCTGGAACTTTCTCTGCTCCTCTGAAAACAGGAATTGAGGTATGCATGAACCAGGAAAGAGAGAGAGAGGGAAGGGAAAGCAACTCGGCAGCCAAGGAGTAAAGGGGGGGGGGGAGTAACACCCTGAGCAGAAATTGAGGCTGGCGCTGGCAGAAGTGGCCTCTTTGCTAGCTGCCTGCTTTGTCCTGGTCGAGATAGATTAACCCAAAACCTCCTTTTCATTGTGAAGCTTTTGAAGGGAACAGATGAGTCTGTAAGATGGGTTGTTTTTTTTTTGCAAGCCTCCTGCAGACAGCAGAATTTGACTCAAGGAGGTATTTCCAGTTATCTGGGGGTGGGGGAAGTTAGTGGACGCTCTTGTGTGATCGTGAATTGATCACGGAGAGCATGGGAGTCAAAGCAGCGCCTAAATTCTGCGCTGAGTACTGTTGAAGGAGCAATTGGGAACTTTTGTGGGTCCTTGGTGTTCCCTAAGCTTGCAGACGTTTCATTACTAAACTAGGTAACATCATCAGGGCTAGTACGGAACGGGGTTTGCATTCATTAATTTAATTCAGTGGCAACGCTATATAGCCCCATTAAAAACCAAAGGATATGAATCTCATTCTCTGCAGAGAAGCCTTCTTAAAACTTATTACACTGTTGTTGTTTTTATCCGGCTTGCTGGGAAGTAAGTTTATTTTGACATCCTTCTATTTGTTTGTTCTGTTGCTGTGTGCTTTGCTCTTTGACACTCAAATTGCCGAGGATTTATTTGTGTGCTAATTGGATTTTATTGATTTGGGCTGGGTACTTTGATTCCAGGTTAACCCTTCAGTTAAATAGATTCTGGTCTGGGTCATTTTACTTTCAAGTTTGGCTTTGTCAGAGTGGCAGAAAATGTTATAGTTTTAGATCGGGGTCTGGATATCTGGATCTATTCCCTAGTTCATTTCTGGTGGATTTTTCTGCTCTCATACACTCTGCTTTTTAGGAACGATAATCCAGAGGCAGCAGTTGAACTACTGAAAAACGTGTATAATCCGAAAACGGATGGGATCCTGTTCTAAATGCTTCTTTTGGGTGTGGGATGCCTTAATTACGGAGAGGGAAAACTTTCAACCATCTCATCTCAACCCTGTAAAATTGCACAGTTCTGTGAATTAGATGTTTCAGAACCTTGGGCTCCAATCCAGAAGCTACTGTAGGAAAGGTTAATTTAACACCTGTGGGAACGCAGAGCCAGAAACTTGAATAAACAAGCCCAAAAATAAATCCCCAAAATTGCTATGTCAGTTAAGATCCACGTGGAGAGTTCTGTCTTTGCACTAAGCCAGGGGTAGGCAACCTTGGCTCTTGGATGCCTCGTGGACTTCAACTCCCAGAGTTCCTGAGTCAGCATGGCTGGTTCAGGAATTCTGGGTATTGGAAGTCCACGAGGCATCCAAGAGCCAAGGTTGCCTACCCCTGGCTTAGTGCAAAGTCTGCAGGTAACTGAATGCTTCCCTTGATTGCTGCCAACCCTTAAAACATGAACCAGGTGTTGGAGACGGTGTCAGTGTGAGAGTTGGGAGGGGGGGGGGAAGTCACAAAGCTGTCACAACACGGCTCCACGCCATGCATGCTAAAAGTGCGAGTCCACAACTCGCGGTTAAGGAGAAGTCACCGGTGGGACTAGGGCAGTGGTTCTCAACCTTTCTAATGCCGCGACCCCATAATACAGTTCCCCATGTTGTGGTGACCCCCAACCACTTATACATCACTGGGTGCCAGGGGCATGGCCAAAGAAAAGGGGGAAAAAATGGCAGACAGCCTTGTTTGGCGACCCCCGTGAAATGGTCGTTCGACCTCAAATGGGGTCCCGACCCACAGGTTGAGAACCACTGGACTAGGGAAAAGAACTTTTTTTATCCCAAAGAGCTGCTTTGGAAATCTGGGATCATAACATTCGGCGTTTATTTATCCTCCTATTGCGGTGTTCTCGTCATTTTCTTTGGAGTGGTTTGTTCTGTTGTTCTACTACTTTGCTGCTTGGTTTTTATTTCTCCGTTTTTATTGCCGTAAGCCCTCCTGGAGTCGCCCTGTGGAGAGATGGGCGGCAAATTAAGTTGAACCAATAAATCAGTGGTTCTCAACCTGTGGGTCCGGACCCCATTTGGGGTCGAACAACCATTTCACGGGGGTCGCCAAACAACACAGTCTGCCATTTTTTCCCCCTTTTCTTTAGCTGTGCTACTCCCTTTTATTCTATTGGCTTTTGAAAGCCAATAGAATAGACTCTCTTGAATAGAGTCTAATTCTATTGGCTTCCCAAAGCCAATAGGAATTGTCCAGGCTGTCTCTGCCCTGCTGAGCCCGCCAAAAGTCCCAGTCTGCAAAGGGTGCTGCCCCAGTTGAGTAGTCCTCGATTTACGACCGGTTGGGGGTCGCAGCATTAAAAAGGTTGAGAACCACTGCAATAAATAAATGCGACGAATAAATTTCACGCTTGGAATGAGCAACGCTGGGAGTCTTTTGCCAGTTGACTTTTTTTTATTAAAGAAAAGATTGGGAGAAAACCACCAGCGAAGAAGACATTTGTGGAATTTGAGGGTGCCAAATTGGCAAACCATCTTTGAAAAAACCCGAAACTGCTCATTTCCAGCACTGGCCTGAAGTGATTTCTTTTTTCTCCCAGAATTGTCTAGGATGATCCCCTTCCAAGAGAGAAACGGAAGCCCTGTCAACAAAGAATATGTGGACATGTGCCTGCAGGCCAAAAAAGACCTGGAAGTTGCCATTGCTGAAATTGTCAAGGCCGAACAGCAAGTCAAAGACAACTGGAAAGAGGTATTTTTGCAATGTGGTTCTGCCTTCTGCCTTGTGGTTCTAATAAGGGGTGAAATCCTTGATTGAAAAGCCCCGGCTGCAGAACTTGTGTGCTGTAGCTTAGCGAAGATTTTCTTTTTTTCAAACAAATTTTATTGTTTTTTTTTAAAAATTTTTACACCAGAGTGCTTAGGAAAACACCGTGGTGAAGGGGAAATCAGTCATCCAGAAACAAAGTCATACCTATATAACTGAAGTTAGTACATTAAAAAATTTCCCTCTCTTATTTCCCTCACATGACATAAGGAATTTAGTTTAATCTATTTCTTCATAAAATTCAATCAGTCCAAATGATCCTCCTTCTCCTTTAAGCTTCACTAATTTCGATTAACACATTCACATCCATCTTAAGTAAACATATTAATTAGACTTCAGGTATCCCTTCTGCAACATACATAGTATTCCAAAAATAACATTCTAGTATTTTCACATATACGCCATTTCTTAATTTAATAGATCATTGGTTAATACCCTTTCTTCTCTTATTGTAAATCTCTCTAGTTCTTCTTCTATTACAAAGTACTTTTCTATATAAACAGAATAAAAAAATAAAGAAACATTTCAGCCCGTTAAATAAAATTTAAATCTCAACCAAAATAGTTATCATGTCTAAGACAAACATATCATTACACAAATGATCATCTTACTAATTTCACATACTCAGTTAATTGTCAAATCAGTCCGAATCTCTAAAGCCTTTTTGACCCAATAAGTTGAGAGTTTAAATCAGATTTTTAAATCTAACTCTGGCTTTTTTTTTCCTGTGCCAAGCTGGTGTCCATGATGCCGCATCTGTGTCATCAAACCTCCATATTTGAGTACTGGTATTTATCAACAAATCGTTCTGGTAGCGAAGATTTTCTTTAAGCTTCAGGTTTTATGCAGCTTCTTAAAGCTAGCCTGGAAAAACAAGAGTGTTTGTGGGAACTGGTGTGTGTGTGTGTATGTGTCTAACTTTGACCGTGCTTGGATGGACTGAATCATCATCAGCGTTGTAAAGATACAGAATGGCGTTGATCTCAGCTTTTAGGGACAGTATGGATGAACCTAGATACTAGTTTTCTTGGGAGCTGCAGATTAGAACTCCAGCCATCTAACCGGTCATCAAGATGGTCTTTCCCTTTAGATATGAGGTCATTTTTAAAATATACCTGCTCTTATTGGGTAAATTCTTGCACAAGGAATAAATGTGATATATCTCCAGAGCAGTGTTCTCTCAGCCTCGATAACTTATATCACCTAATCACCTAAACAGGAGCCAGCCGTGTGCTGCAGCTGCCAAAAAGGCCAACACAGTGCTAGGCTGCATTAACAGAGGGATAGAATCAAGATCATATGAAGTATTAATACCACTCTACAATGCCTTGGTAAGGCCACACTTGGAATACTGCATCCAGTTTCAGTCACCACGATCCAAAAAAGATGTTGAGACTCTAGAAAGAGTACAGAGAAGAGCAACAAAGATGATTAGGGAGCTGGAGGCTAAAACATATAAGGAACGGTTGCTGGAATTGGGTATGTCTAGTTTAACGAAGAGAAGGACGAGGGGGGACATGACAGCAGTATTCCAATATCTCAGGGGCTGCCCCAGAGAAGAGGGAATTAAGCTATTTTCCAAAGCACCGGAAGGCAGGACAAGAAGCAACGGGTGGAAAGTAATCAAGGAGAGAAGCAACCTAGAACTAAGGAGAAATTTCCTGACAGTTAGAACAATTAACCAATGGAACAACCTGTCTCCAGAAGCTGTGAATGCTCCAACATTGGAAGTTTTTAAGAAGAGACTGGACAGCCATTTGTCCAAAATGGTGTAGGGTTTCCTGCCTGAGCAGGAGGTTGGACTAGATGACCTCCAAGGTCCCTTCCAACTTTACTATTATCATTATTATTTTAAGATGGGTGGACTTCAACTCTCAGAATTGTGGAGGTCGAAGTCCACCCATCTTAAAATTGTTGAGGTTGAAAAATGCTGCTCTGGAGATTTAGGTTTTCTTTCAAAGGCTGAAATTTAATGGATGTGGAATTGCCAGTTTCCCTTGGCGCTCAAGGTCCTGCACCCACCTCTGACAATCTGTCAACAAAGGTTTGTGGAAAACTATGATGAACTCTGGACAAAGAAATCTTGAATTCCTTTAAAGTCTTGCTTAAGTCCCTATCAGCGTAAAGCAGCACTTGTCCCTTTCCAAGCCATTGACCCATCTTTCCAGCGAAATAGCTCCGTTGGATCTTCGTTGCTAGGAAGACTCTTGTCCCTTGGGACTTCATCCTTCCACTGGTTGGGAACTCAGCCCTGCCTGCATTGCAAAATGTGGGGATAGGAACAGGAGGGACGAAAGACTTGGATAAGAATTATGGCGATGTCTGTGGAGGTTCCCAGTCATCCAGTTCTCGCCCCAAAAGTGCTTTTCCAAAAGGCAAATGGACTTTCTTATTTTGTTTGGTTTTTTTCTTTGAAAACATTTTGCTTTTCATTCAGGAAGCTTCTTCGGGTCAGGTCAATTCCTAGAAAATCCAGTCACTTTTGGAAGAGAAAAAAAAAACTTTTTAGGAAGAGAATTATAACAGAAGGTGGCTTCTCTTGCAGGTGAAAGCTCAAGTCCACAGCTGCATCAGTCGCCACCTGGAAAGTCTGCGAAGCCGCGAAGTTTGGTTGTTGGAACAGGTTGACCTCATCCAGCAGCTGAAGCAAGAGACTTTACAGCAACAAGCACAGCAGCTCTGTTGGGTAAGGGCTGATGGGTCTTCTGATCCTTTTCCTGCATCCAGAATTACAGAAACTTTGCCTTGACTTTGCACTCACTGTGTGTTTGGGGCACCAAGCCACTGCCTCGTATCTGTACCTTGGTGACGCTGGCTTATCCTGTTCCTAGTGAGGTCACCTCTTTTTTTTTTTTTAACTTCCAGTTGTTGGGACAATTCAGCTGCCTCATCCGCCAGCTGGAGCAGCCTCAAAGCGGCGGTGACCTTACAAATCAGATTTCGGCGTGCTTTGAGAGGTGAGTCCTCTTCAACAGATTTTGAATGACCCGCGCGGCTGTTTGTTTATCTTGGTCGTTTCCCACGTCATTGTGGGCTGTGTGACATCACCTTCAAAGTTAAAGTTCCAAATGCACAGGTATAGTATAGGGGGTACCTTGCTCAATAGCAGTAACTGTGAGAGGGACCTCAGAGTCCTAGTGGACAATCACTTAAATATGAGCCAGCTGTGTGCTGCAGCTGCCAAAAAGGCCAACACAGTGCTGGGCTGCATTAACAGAGGGATAGAATCAAGATCACGTGAAGTATTAATACCACTCTTCAATGCCTTGGTAAGGCCACACTTGGAATATGGCATCCAGTTTTGGTCACCACAATGTAAAAAAGATGTTGAGATCGTAGAAAGAATGCAGAGAAGAGCAAAAAAGATGATTATGGGACTGGAGGCTAAAGCATATAAGGAACGGCTGCTGGAATTGGGTATGTCTAGTTTAATGAAGAGAAGGACGAGGGGGGACATGATAGCAGTCTTCTAATATCTGAAGGGCTGCCCCAAAGAAGAGGGAGTCAAGCTATTCTCCAAAGCGCCTGAAGGCAGGACAAGAAGCAATGGGTGGAAACTAACCAAGGAGAGAAGCAACTTAGAACTAAGGAGAAACTTCCTGACAGTTAGAACAATTAACCAGTGGAACTACCTGCCTCCAGAAGCGGTGACTGCTCCAACACTGGAAGTTTTTAAGAAGAGACTGGACAGCCATTTGTCTGAAATGGTATAGCGTTTCCTGCCTGAACAGGGGGTTGGACTAAATGACTCCCAAGGTCCCTTCCACCTTTATTATTATTATTAACTTTGGAAATCTTGCCACCTCTGTGGGTGGAAACAGGACTGGGCATTTGAAGATTTAACATCCCTTCAGAAGATACATGTATTTTGTGCATAAAAATGAGACGACTTTTTGTTTTGTTTGAAAAAAAAAAAAAAACGACTCGTCACCTTTGTTTGTTTCTGAATTCTTAACTTTTATCTTCTCCCCTAAGTCTTGGCAGTTTGACTCTTCAGCCTGAAGAAACATCCATCCTGAATTTTGAGGCTGACGTGGCATTTCTTCGTCAGGCAATCACCTCTTTTGGCTCCATTAGAACAATGGTGAGTTAAAAAGAGCTGTGTTCTAATGTACAGTAGTGGCCAAAATTGTGGAAAGCTTTTGGGAAAAGTGTATTTTTGAGGTTTGATGACTAATACCACTCTTTTTTGGAGTAGTACCATAAAATTATATATCAATGGAAAGATAATTTAATCAAGAACGTAATGCAACAAAGTTTGTTCAATTATCTGTACTGTATTCTATGAAACGTTATAGCCAAATAACCAGAAAAAGGAAGCACAACTCGATTAGGTTGATCTCAGGTAGCTTTCCTTCATCTGATTGTAGCCAATGAGCATGAGCGTTTACAGAGCCAATCGGGTGTCATCTTGTTTTTTCAGTGAGCCAATCAGATCACAGTAGGAGTCAGTTATTGATGTCCTGTATTGAAGCTGAGAGGAGGACATTGTGTGATCGCTATCGTTGGTTGGGGGTTTTTTTGGTGTTCTTTCATTTAGTGAGCTTGTAAAATGTAATAAAATTAAACGGTGCAAAGAGTTGACTGGTTGCCCAGAAAGCGATGTAAAACAGTATTATTAAATGAACAAGGCTACAGTTATAAAGAAATTAGAAGAAAAATGGGTGGAAACTTATTATCTCTGGTTTCTTTCTTTTTTTAATAGCAAACTTCCGATAAAGAGGATTACGCCCCTTGGATCTCTGTGCAGAACTGTCCCGTGATGGCTAGTTTGGAAAAGGTGAATTACAGATTGGTTTAGAGAGACTGAAATTTGAAGGCAGCAGCGGAGTTTTTAAACTTAGTCTTCTCTTGCTATTAGCTAGGAATGCCAGTTTGGTCTAGTGCAGGTGTAGGCCACCTTGGCTCTTTGATGACTTGTGGACTTCAACTCCCAGAATTCCTGAGCCAGCATGGGGGAACTATGGTCCCTTCATGACTCGTGGACTTCAACTCCCAGAATCCCTGAGCCAGCATGGGGGAACTATGGTCCCTTCATGACTTGTGGACTTCAACTCCCAGAATCCCTGAGCCAGCATGGGGGAACTATGGTCCCTTCATGACTCGTGGACTTCAACTCCCAGAATTCCTGAGCCAGCATGGGGGAACTATGGTCCCTTCATGACTCGTGGACTTCAACTCCCAGAATCCCTGAGCCAGCATGGGGGAACTATGGTCCCTTCATGACTCGTGGACTTCAACTCCCAGAATTCCTGAGCCAGCATGGGGGAACTATGGTCCCTTCATGACTCGTGGACTTCAACTCCCAGAATTCCTGAGCCAGCATGGCTCAGCTTGGAAACCTCTCCCTTTCCCCTCAGCGTGGCTGGCTCAGGAATTTTGGGAGTTGGAAGTCCACGAGTCATAAAAGAGCCAAGGTTGCCTACCTCTGGCCTAGTGGATAAGGCCCCAGGCTAGAAAATAGCACTTAGTAATACCATTTAAGACTTATATACCGCTTTACAGTGCTTTACAGCTCTCTCTAAGCGGCTTACAACTTGGGGGTCCTCATTTTGCTGCAAGGCTGAGTTGACCTCGAGCTGGTCCGAATCGAACTGCCGGCAGTCGGCAGAATTAGCCCGTAATACGGCATTCTAATCACTGCGCTACTATCATGGCTCTTGATAAATCATGAGTTCAAGTCCTGCCTTAACTATGAAAGCCAGCTGGTTGACTTGACCCCAACGCATCTCCCATGGTGATTGTTTTGGGGGAAATAGAAGGGGGATATGTTATATGAGTTAACTTGTGAAAAAAAAAAGGTGGGCTATAAATCAATAAATTAAAAAAAAATGCAGCACGTCCCAGGAAGAGAGATTAATTGATCTCCACCAGAGAATCTACATTTGATCTGTGGGAAAATCATTTAAGCCCTTAACATGCACAGTGGGTGCCCAAGTAGGCTGGTGGTGGTTCAGAATTCAAGTGTAAAGGAAGAAATAATTGTAAAATCCAGAAATTTTCAGTGGCACAAACACCCAGGACATTCTCCTCCTCCTCAACAGGGCGCCAGGATACTTTTATCTATCCTTGGGGGAGAGAGAGAGTGTGTGTGTGTTCCCATGGTGGATTTTGTCCGGGATTAAACTCTCCCTAAATTTGTTCTTGATTATTAGCCCAAACCTTTCCGTGGAATGCTGGGTTGTCCTCTCTCTGACTGGCTTCTTGGAACCAAGTCCGATGGCGTGTGCTGTACCCCTTATGTTCCCAGCTACAAGCAGGAGGACTGGCTCTTGAAAACCCACGCCGGGGAGGCCAATCAGGTATTGTTACCTACTGTCTACATCAGTGGTTCTCAACCTTTGTAATGCCGCGACCCCCAACCGGTCGTAAGTCGAGGACTACTCAACTGGTGCAGCACCGTTTGCAGAATGGGACTTTTGGCGGGCTCAGCAGGGCAGAGACAGCCTGGACAATTCCTATTGGCTTTTGAAAGCCAATAGAAGGAGACTCTATTCAAGAGAGTCTATTCTATTGGCTTTCAAAAGCCAATAGAATAAAAGGGAGTAGCACAGCTAAGGAAAAAGGGGAAAAAAATGGCGGACTGCATTATTTGGCGACCCCCATGAAATGGTCGTTCAACCCCAAATGGGGTCCCGACCCACAGGTTGAGAACCACTGGTCTACATGTATAGAGAAGGATAATATTCTAATAATATTGGAAAAGATAGACCAAAGAGGTTGAGAAGAAAATTACATAGCCAAATGATTTATGTCCCAAGAAATGCTGATGGCTCCAAATATTGGGGATTTCCTCCTGTTGTGAGGATTGTAAGCTCTGAGGATAAGATGGCTGCCCAATCAATCAGTCAGTCAGTCAGTCAGTCAGTCAGTCAGTCAGTCAGTCAGTCTTCCAAAAGTAGTGGAACTGGTGGATCCAACAAGGCTGTTCTTGGAACATTGAGAGTGAGAAGGGAATTATAATCTTAATCTTGCTGTTCTTTTCCCAAGAAATAGCAAGAGAGCTTAGACTTACAGTAGTGGTCAACATTGTGGAAACCTTTTGGGAAAAGTGTAATTTTGAGGTAGGATGGCTAATAACACCACTTTTTTTGGAGTAGTACCATAAAATTATAAATCAATGGAAAAGATAATTTAATCAAGAATGTAATGCAACATAGTTTGTTCAATTATCTGTACTGTATTCTATGAAAAGTTGTAGCCAAATAACCAGAAAAAGGAAGCACAACTTGCTTAGGTTGATCTCAGGTAGTTTTCCTTCATCTGATGGTAGCCAATGAGCATGAGTATTTAGAGAGCCAATTGGGTGTCATCTTGTTTTGCGAACGAGCCAATCAGATCACAGTAGGATTCAGTTATTGATGTCCTGTATTGAAGCTGAGAGGAGGACATTGGTCAGGGTGTTGTTATGTGATCGCTATGAAGTTGGTTGGGTTTTTTGGTGTTCTTTCATTGAGTGAGCTTGTAAAACATAATAAAATTAAAGTCATGGTGCAAAGAGTTGACTGGTTGCCCAGAAATCGATGAAAAATAGTATTATGAAGTGAACAAGGCTACAATTATAAAGACATTAGAAGAAAAATGGGTGGAAACTTAACCAAAGGTGGCATTTCTACTGTACACTTTTCCCAAAAGGTTTCCACAATTTTGGCCTCTACTGTATATACCGCTTCATAGTGCTTTACAGCCCCTCTCTAAGCGGTTCATAATGTGGAAGCATTATTTGCCTACCTGGGTCCTCATTTTACCGACCTCGGAAGGGTAGAAGGCTGGGTCAACTTTGAGCCGGTCAGGATCGAACTCTCGGCCGTGGGCAGAGTTAGCCTGCAATCCCTCACATTTGCGGTGTCGTCTCCTCCGTAGGATTTAAAGCCTCCAGAAGTGTGTTATTTGGAGAAAGCCTGGGGGAACCTGAGAAGCTTGGAGAACTGGCTTTTGCAGAACCAACAGCGGGACCTCCCGGAGAGGGTGGACCTCCGCCGACGGAAGAGCTCCACTTCCACCATCGCTTCCACCGTGTCCATCGAGAAGATCGACGAACTGGAGTTTTTCGAGCAAGACGACGCCGACCTTTCCGAATGGCTTCTGGTGTCTTCCGAGCCTGAAAATCGGAACGCCTCCGATGAGAAGCAGAATTGGGTTTTTAAGCCTTTCCGGGAAGAATATAACCCCAACGATTGGCTGCCTAAAACCGATTCGTGCAATCACTGTTGCGGCGGCCAAGCCAGCGGCGTGGAGATAGAAAACCTGGGCAATCTGAAATGCCTTAGCGAGCACCTTGAGGTGAGGAAGCCGCTGAACGCCGACAGCTGGCTTCTGCCGCCCGCTTTCAACGTGGAGGATCTATGCAGAGCCAACGAGCCGTGCTCCAGCCTCTCCGAGTGCGTGTGTGAGCAGAACTGTGAAAAGGAAGCCCTGTGCAAATGGCTTCTGAGGAAAGAAGGCAAGGATAAGAACGGCATGCCGATTGGGGAGGTCTCGGAACCCGAGGAACGTCAGCCCGTGGGGAACATCTGGCTCCATCCTTCTCGGCCGGCGGAGGCGGATTGGGCTAGCTCCGCCGTGAAGCAGGACGTTGGCCGGGAAGGGGCAGAGCCTCTGAAAGAATTGCTGGAAACCTCGTTGTCCTCTTGGCTAGCCAAGCGAGAAGTCAACGCTTCCCACGGCGGCGAAGAGAAGGCCATTAGAGAGGACGCCGCCGAAGTAAGCCATAAGGGGACCCTGCTGGAGCTGCTCGCTCCCTTCCACCTCCCTTTCAACATAAACAGCTGGATCTTGTCGTCAAAGAGTGCGGACATCTCCAGCCAGCCTCTCGTAGAAGATAAATGGCTGCTAAGGAAGAAAGCACACGTAAGTAGAATTCTCGCCCGGTCACTTCACCCACGGAAAGTCTTCTGTGGGTTTAATATCTATAACCCAGGGATCTCCAGACATGGCAACTGGAAGACATGCTAGCTGAGGAATTCTGGGAGTTGAAGTCCACAGTGTCACATGTTCCGACTAATGAAGCACTTCAAAGAACTTTCAGGCATGTTTCCTAAAGTCTTTATTTGCAGAGCTACAAATTTTGCCGGTCACCATGTTGGACTGGTTAATGCCAGAATCTGAACTTCCTGTCGCTGGCATCAAGCTTTCCTTGCTCAACCCCTCCCTTCTCATGCAGTCACAGGTCACATTATCCAATTAGTGAGAAGGTCAAACGTTTACTTCCTCTTTCTTTCCCGGGCTTTTTCCCCCGCTCAGTCTAAGCTAAGTATTAACCCAATAAATGCCAGACAGTTTTGCATATTGTCAAAGCAAGAATATACAGTATTTGCAGCATTGACACACAGGTCTCGCAGTTGCCAAGTCTGAAGAAGACCCGGGATGTAACTTGTAAGAGTTCTCCGGAGAGGCGGTTCACGCGCTAACGTTGGCGTCCCGCCGTTTACCAATCTCAAGTCTTGTATTTCCACATAATTTTGCTAATCTCGCAGAAATCAATCCCGTTTCTTTACAGGAGAGTGGCCTTCCCGCCGTTTGTGACCTCTTTGCCTGTATGAACCTGAGTGGAGACAGAGAAAAATGGCTGTATCAGACGCCTTTACAGGTAAAAGCCTCTCCGTAAAATGGAAGTCCACCCATTTGCCTTGTTGCTTCTTGGCTTAACTCCTTAAGTCTTCTTAACATCTCATTTTAGACTTCCAGCATGAGATGAAGCGGGCCTAGCCCAATCAGCTTTTGGAGAACATCAAGATTGGTTAGACGTCCATTAACTATTATAGGCTTAGAACTAAGCTTTCTTCTTAATTAGCCTGTTAACAATCCAGTTCTTTTCTCGTTGACGTCTCTTGACGGAAAGATGCAGAGATGTTGAAAACGCTCCGACTTATTTTTAACATCTGGGTGAAATGCGAGTCTCTAGCTTTCTGAGAAGACGGCTAATTCAACAAGCCTGCTTCTTTTGGGTCTTGGAAAGGATGTGTGAATCTAATCAAAGGCTTTTGACCAAATCAGGCTTGATATGCCTCAGATTTACAGCTGTAGTTCCAACCATGTGGTACAGACGTTTTGGGAAGCACAAAACTCTCTAATTGGAAACTACCATGGGTGGTCATGGAGGGTTCTCTCTAGATCAGTGGTTCTCAATCTTTCTAATGCCACGACCCCCAACCAGTTGTAAGTCGAGGACTACTCAACCGGTTGTAAGTCGAGGACTACTCAACTGGTGCAGCACCGTTTGCAGAATGGGACTTTTGGGCTCAGCAGGGCAGAGACAGCCTGGACAATTCCTATTGGCTTTTGAAAGCCAATAGAATTAGACTCTATTCAAGAGAGTCTAATTCTATTGGCTTTCCAAAGCCAATAGAATAAAAGGGAGTAGCACAGCTAAGGAAAAGGGGGGAAAAATGGCAGACTGCATTGTTTGGCGACCCCCGTGAAATGGTCGTTCGACCCCAAATGGGGTCCTGACCCACAGGTTGAGAACCACTGCTCTAGATCAAGGGTAGGCAACCTTGGCTCTTTTATGACTCGTGGACTTCAACTCCCAGAATTCCTGAGCCAGCCATAGCTCAGCTTGGAAACCTCTCCCTTTCCCCTCAGCGTGGCTGGCTCAGGAATTCTGGAAGTGAAGTCCACGAGCCATAAATGATCCAAAGTTGCCCACCTCTGCTCTAGATGGTTCACAAGGATCCGTTTGCAACGTTCGGTTAACAGAGGAGAGATGCTTCCCCACAAACAGGTACCGATTCTCACTGGATAGGATACCCAGATGCTTAATCTTCCTGGCTCAGATTGCACACAAAGCACAGTGAAGGCAGGGCTAAGCACGATAGATAAATCTTTTCCTGAACATCTGCAGCCTTTGCACTTTTGAAATATTCTCAAAATATTCTTAAATGGTCGATCCCGATTAGCAGCGTCTTTTGTTTTAATATCCCGATTCTGGGCTTATGTTTCCTAGATGTGAAAAAAAAAGAAAACAAAAAAACTGCAGCGTGATCTAAACGATGCTTTGATTTTCTGCTGATCATCGCACAACTGGAATGAGTTGACTGCAGCCTGTCGCTTCTCCTGTGTTTTTTGACCATCTTGTCTTTTTCAGATTTCGAATGTCACTTTAAAAGCTGTATGTAGCTGGGGGTTGGGGCTGCGGAAAATGGACCTCGGAGTCCTCAAAACAGAAGCGCCCTTTGTTGGGTTCTCTGGGGTCCGTGATGCCCGTTGGGACTCGCGTTAAAATGTAAAAGCCAGTATTTGGAAATAGGTTCTGTATAGGAAGACCCTTAGCTGGGGTGGGAGATGGGGAGAGGCAAATGTTTATCCAGAACACACCATTGGCCCTTCTTTCCAGCTCCTAATTTTAAATAGGATTTACAGAGTATCTTCCAAGAGATGCACTTTTGAATTGTGTGTTCTGTGTATGCATATGCACTCTTCTCACCTGAAAGATGAAGTCATTGTCATACAGATTGGCATGGGCACCGGGCAACTTTGGTGCTAATCCTGGTTAAGGTAACTAGGATGGGAAGGGCGGGCAAAACTGAGCACAGAGCGGACGAAATGTTGTGTGGCTTTAAAGCCCTAGTACTAAGGACGAGTTGTGTCCTTTGTATTGCAGAACAAAAAAAAAAAATAATAATTTCTCTCACACTATGAATTACGACAAGTTTGAAAGTAGCCTTAGAAACTTTAATGCTGAACTTTAATACCACTCTTTACTCGTCTCCACAATTCGTGGGGGCAACTTTTGAAAAGCTGTGACGCTAACGTTAAAAAAAAAAAATGAAAATTGTGCTCTTGGCTTAGCACAGGTACACTTTTTAATTGCTAGGCTACCTGTCAAAGGAATTACCACTGCGTTCTCTGTTAAATTCACTCATTTGATATATTTGCCTTCCAGTGCTTTAACAAAGTTATCTGCTCAGGTTCCTGAGAGGGGGTATATGTAATACCTAACTGATGTGGAATGCAATTAAACCCGCTTTCTTTTACATTAATCCCAACGTTTGTGATGCTAATGAAGTATGCCATTAAACCATTGTGAATAAAAAGTGTATTTGTCTGAAGTTGTTCTTTTCCTAGCTCTGTTAATGGGACTGGATTAATGCAAGGTCGAATCTGGGTCCATCCCCGGGACCAGAGATTTACTGTTCCAAGCTTTTGGAGTCATGTTAGGGGCTTCATGGAATTTCTCTCTACTGCAGTGTTTCTCAACCTTGACAATTTTAAGGCATGAGGACTTCAACTCCCAGAATTCCACAGCCAGCAATGCTGGCTGTGGAATTCTGGGAGTTGAAGTCCACATGCCTTAATAAAATTGTCAAGGTTGAGAAACACTGCTCTACTGGAATATGTGCTTTGGGCTACTCCGCGAGTTGGGTTTATGTGGGGCTTTTTGTTGGCTCACATATGAATTCAGAAGCTCGGAAGAGTAATCTCTGATCCTGGTGGCAGACCCAGATTCGACTTTGCATCATTATCCAGGGACACATATTTGCCTCCACTCATGGCTGGATTGTTTGAAATATAGGAAACACCCAAGATCCATCCCCAAACTGTCTCATGTCACAGAGTGAATCAGATCTTCTAATCTTCACCAAACTGCTGTGCTTAGATAAGCATTAAAATGTTTTGTGGTGTCAGACGTGACCTTTTTATGCAATTTATCTGCTGTTCACGGATAACTGCAAAATTATATTCAATGTTTTGTTTGGCTCTCCTTAACAAAAGTGGAATATGCTTGGGACCAGCAAGGCAGCCTTGACTCTTGGTGACCATACAATAGTTTTATTATCATTGTTGCATTCCAAGGTTTTTCTCAATCTTCCAGGGTGATCTGCAACCACGATACTAACTGCTTAACACCACCAACGATAACTAGCCATTTGTGGTCAGGACAATTTAACCTTACAAAACAAGAGCGAGTACAGCATGTATGACATGACCCCTGCTGCCCTGGGGCTCTCCGTTGTGCTTTTCTGCACAAGCTTATCAACAAAGGGTAATGCTGAAAGTTATTATTCGTAACTGTAATGCTCAACAATGGAATGGAGCTCTTTGGGATTGCTTTAGGGGGCCAGGCCAAGAGCCACAAGAAGAGAAATCTACAATGGAAGCGGGAGGAGGTGGGGAAGGGAGAGCTGGGTTTTCTCCCGCGTAAAATTGGAAGTGTCTTGGCGATATTTCGACGAAGTCCCATTTGTCATCTTCAGGTTGGTGTTTTCAGCTTCGTGCTTCGAAGCACAAAGCTGAAAACACCAGCCTGAAGATGACGAATGGGACTTCGTCGAAACGTCGCCAAGACACTTCCAATTTTACGCGGGAGAAAACCCGAATAACCAAAGACCTACACACACACACACACACACACTGTAGAAACCGATTTAATAATCCTTTCTTGAGTCAAACTGCAACATTTGTGTTTATTACTAAGGATTGTCAAAAACGACCAGACCGTACTTTTCAGCTCAGCACCCAGAAAGTCATCTGTGAAAGAACGCTAGATGTGACTGCAAGCATTTTCGTAAAAGGGAAAGTGGTGCCCTCAACACACTTCCCAGTTTTGTGCTGCCACTGCTGCCACGCCATCTCCCTTGCTCCTACCTACCTTGAGCGCCGGATCACTGGTGCTCTGATAAGGTCAGGCCGTTGTCGGTGGACAGCTTTTAAAAACGTTTAAAAACTGAACGTTTTTCAGCACATACATTTTATTACAGTCAAATCAAGCAATGGCCTCGGCGTACAAACATGCTTATGGAGATGAGATCTTCATTTCTGCAGGTAAAATGGCGCTCTCCGCCACCCGTGGCCCTGAAGGATGCGGAATGCTCAAGAGCTCCACTGTGGCCGCGGGAATCGGTGGTCTTGAGTGGGGTGTGTTTGTTGTGTGTCCACTAGGTACTATAACAAAGGGGGGGTCCAGTCTGATTGCGCTGCACGGATAGAGGCTCCCTCCCCCGCCGCTCTGCTCAAAGGGACTGCCGTTGCATAGAGCCCCTCATGTGCTCCCAGTTGTTGTACAACGAGTAGAGGCCTGTTAGCATGAGTCCTGCGATGCCACCTCTGGCTACCCCACGCAATCCACCTGTGAGGAAACGAAGCATCAGTAAATAAGACATCAGCCAGCATTGGTAGGTTCCAATAGCGCAGGGCTTTTCAACCTTTCCACCCATTGTACCACTTTTAGGATATGGCAATATCCGAGGACCACCGGTCGCCTAGCAAGGTGTCAAAAACTTGATGACCCCCCAAAAGGAAAAAATTGATGAAGTACAGGTAGTTCTCGACTTACAACAGTTCGCTTAGTGACTGTTCGAAGTTACAATGGCACTGAAAAAAGTGCTCCAAGCCACAGCCGAACAAGACACTTACCTGCTGCCTTATTCTCCCTGTCTGCTGGGTGGTTGCAGCAGGTTTTGGTCACTTCAAATGACCCTGGGACACTGTGACCGTCATAAATATGAATCAGTTGCCAAGCATCCGAATGTAAATCACAAGACCCTGGAGGTGCTGCAACATTGCAGCTGATCGGCGCTTCTTCTGGGCTCAGCAGAAGCGCCAGGATCAGTGCTGCTTTCCAGCTGATTGGTGCTTCTTCAGGGCTCAGCAGAAGCACCAGGATCTGCTAAGCTCCAGCTGGAGCCTGGCACTGATCCTGGCGCTTCCGCTGAGCCCTGACAGCCCTGCAACTCCAGCCGTCTCTCGCTCAGGCTTGTGCATTGCTGCCACCGGTTCAGCTCATTCCCCTCCCCTGCTACCACTTTTCTAGGATGGTTGCGTACCACCTGCCAGGTGCCAATGTACCACAGGTGGTACCCGTACCACTGGTTGAAAAGCCCTGCAATAGCGGACCTTCACCCAAGCGAGGCACACGGGCACATCTGTAAAGTCTACACAAGAAGCTGGGGGGGGGGCGACTTCCCAATATATATAAGACAAACAGTTTGCTCTTGTTACACCCTTTGAACTCTTTTGAACTCTTAAATTTCTCTCTTCCAAATCAGCTGACACTTGTGGACATGATCTGGCTCCACCAAAGAAAAAACTTTTTTTTTTTTAAACACACTATGCTGATTTTGAAAATCTAATTTTAGCACTTAAGCTCTATTAGCAAAGCTCTAGTTGGTCTATGGCAGGGGTAGGCCACCTTGGCTCTTTGATGACCCGTGGACTTCAACTCCCAGAATTCCTGAGCCGGCATGGCTCAGCTTGGAAACCTCTCCCTTTCCCCTCAGCGTGGCTGGCTCAGGAATTCTGGGAGTTGAAGTCGTAAAAGAGCCAAGGTTGCCTACCTCTGGTCTATGGGAAGGGCGGACATGAGTTTGCTCCCCAGTTAGTGGATTGCCACCTGCATATTATGCATCATTAAAACACTGACACTGACCTTTAATCATCTAAATTATAACTGAAGAATGTCACAAACCTATAAAAAGTGGGGATGGGGATTCCTTGCATAGGACACTATTGTTGTAATAAAAAAAAAGCTGTCCAGAGTCGTTTGCTACAAGATGGGTGGGTAAATCAATTCAATAATAAATAATTAAAATAAAATAGGATGTAATAGGAACGACGCGTGTCAGGACCTACGGCAGGCGTAATCAAGGTCACTTTGAAGCAGGAAGAGGCAGGAAATGCATCCTCTGTTTTCACATCAAACATAATTAAAAATTTCGCCCAGTGTAAGGAGAGTTAGAATGTGAAAGAAGTGCTTTCCAAGAAAACAAAGAGCAGAAAAGTTAAACCAAGCAAATTGCCGGCAAGAACAGCTGTTTATACAGCATGAAACTTCTTTTCTGATGTTCCTCAAAATCCTGGAACCTAAAACACCCAGGAACTAAGCAAAGATCCACAGCCACACAGCCTAAGCAGGTGTATCTGATTTTGCCCTGAAAGTCTCTAATTAAAGTGTCTGAATTTTGACTAAACTGAGTTGCTGGGTTGGGAATTTCCAAACTCTACTCATGACTTTTTACCCTTCTTTTTTTCACTTCTGCCTACTAAGCGATAGGCTTCAGCAGTTCTCCACCCCTGCAATCGGCATTCTGGTTGGGCGAGATTAGCAGTCAACTCCCCGGAGCCTCACAAAGCGGGCGTTTGTCGTCATTTCTCTTGCACACACACGCAAACTTAGTAAAAAAACAAAAAAAAGAAAATTGGTTTACCCTGACAGCAATATCTGAAAATTGGATTTTTCTTCCCAGCTAGTAAGGTCTCTCCGGAACGCAGTCCTGCAAGTGGAATGCCACTGCTGACTTGTACACAGGTGGCAATTAAGAAAAAAGGCAACACCACGAACGGATGACACTGTGTGGGGTTAGTTGTGTCAGTGAGAATGCCTGACTCCGGACCAGCAGAAGCACAAATATGTGTCTTGCTGAAGCTGCTACTCAAATCAGAAGATCTGGAAAACTGTGGAGCAGGGGTCTCCGAACGGGGCAACTTCCAAGACTTGTGGACTTCAACACCACCGGGCGCAAGTCTTTTTTTAAAGTTGCCAAGTTTGCATGCTGTAGAGTCTACCTGTCTGCATTCTGCAGGGATGGGAATAATAATCTACCCGTCTGTGTGGTTTATGTGAGTTTTCTACCTCCTGGAAAGAATAGCAGGGCCCCACGACAGATAAGTGGATGGTCGAGCCACGCCTATTTATGCCGATGTTATAAAGAAGTGTTGATATATAAAGTGAAATGAAGAAATGCACAGAAGCTTTCACTTTCCTTACTGTGGGCCTCAGATCCCAGCAATGGAGAAGCTGCCTGACTCAATTTATACCGGCTGTCCAAGTCCAAGTGACTGGAGGCCGCCATTACGCTTCCCCCTTTTAAAAGAAATAAAATGAGGCCAGGAGAGTGTGCTGGACCGGCCAAGGTGTCATCCTTAGGACCCAGAATCTAGGGGGATATATGATGGTCTGATGGTCACTTAGAGTGTCAAGTGTCCAGAGAGTTCTTCAGGAGCCATTGCTGGTATAACCAAACACCTGGCTGCTAATATTCTTGTGCTATTCCTAGGACCGTGATTTAGAGTGCGCACCTGTTAGGGCCATCGGCAGCCCAATGCTTAGATTCCGAAACACCAGGACACGATCAATCCCCAAGTGCCTCTGAAGCATAAGCCAGCTGCGATAAACTGGGTCAACATGACATGCCTTGCAAAACATGCTTTAAGGCTAACAAAAACACACATCATTCCGTGAAATAATGCGCTTGCGTGTCTTAACAAGTATCCGGGTGGTGCTAACTCCTAGGGGTGACTACTGCCTGGGGTTTTACAAACTCCCATTATTGTACAGGCATTTTCCTCAGGCAATTTTAAGCCCCCACCATGACAAGTCAAACCTCTAAACAAAAACCAATGTTGACTACAGAACTGCTTTGAAGTAACTCTGAGGAAAGGCAGAAATCCATTATTCCAGACGGTCTGTTAAATGTAAAAGTATGTCAGGTATAGGCCACACCCTAGGTTGCTTACAAGGCGACCCTATTACAAAAATTTAAATATTCTGCATTGTTTTACGCTACTCTACACAGGGTGTGCACTGCCTCTTGTTTCAAGGGGGGTCCAGAAAGAAATTTGGCCTGTTGCATCCAGTGGCCCTTTGAATGAAGTTCTGTTAAGCTGAACAGGACAAGGTATCCCTTAATTTAAAGCACACAATAACTGTACATTTGCTACATTTTTACCTCGAGAAAACATTACAAATTAAAAGCATCTTAACTGACATTGGCACCTTCGCTTAATCAAAGGCACGTGCCTTATACCGGAGTAACACGACGTGTGTATGCTTCCAAAACCCGTGCTGATCCGGTCTGTTTCGCTCAGCACATTTGCAAGGAAGCATAGTACCGCACAGGCCGTGTCGACCGTCTCCAGAACGGAGATGGGGACTGGCAAACCTTGAGGCAGTCCTTTTATCTTCCAGCGGTGTAACACTATCAAAGACATGGAGGTGACCAAGACAGCTGACTACCACTGGAAAGGAGATGGAAAAAGTCTCCTTCGGGATATAAAGCAAGTCTTCCACTCGTAGAAACAAAATGTCCTGCCTTGTGGTTAAGAGCCCCCCAATCAGATTAAATCCAAGAGTCCCTTTTCATAAATGCAAGATAAAACACGGCTTTGCTGGACCGGCAACTGATTGATTGCCAAAATAACTCTAGAGCAGTGGTTCTCCACCTGTGGGTCGGGACCCCATTTGGGGTCGAACGACCATTTCACGGGGGTCGCCAAACAACGCAGTCCGCCATTTTTTCCCCCTTTTCCTTAGCTGTGCTACTCCCTTTTATTCTATTGGCTTTTGAAAGCCAATAGAATAGACTCTCTTGAATAGAGTCTAATTCTATTGGCTTTCAAAAGCCAATAGGAATTGTCCAGGCTGTCTCTGCCCTGCTGAGCCCGCCAAAAGTCCCATTCTGCAAACGGTGCTGCACCAGTTGAGTAGTCCTCGACTTACGACTGGTTGAGTAGTCCTCGATTTACGTCCGGTTGGGGGTCGCGGCATTAAAAAGGTTGAGAACCACTGCTCTAGATGTTGTCAACACGAACCCAAAACTAACATATTGTCTCCTGGTTGTACATATACAAGTAGTCCTTGAGGTCATTTAGGAACTGCTCAAAGTTACAACGGCACTGGAAAAGGTGACTTAGGACCGTTTCTCATACTTATGACCGTCGCAGGATCCCCATGGTCATGTGATCAAAATTCAGACGCGTGGAAGCCGACTCATACTTACGACGGTTGCCGTGTCCTGGGGGGGGTCACGTGACCAGATTCTGCAACCTTCTGACAAGTGAAGCCAAGATTGGGGAAGACAGACGGACTTTACAACTGGGTGACTAAATTAACCCCTTAGCAACAGTGGCAGGAAAAGTCGTAAAATGAGGCAAAACTCACTTAACTAATGTTCCACTTAGCAACACAAATTTTGGGCCCAGCTGTTGTCGTACGTTGAGGACTACCTGTATATTATCTGGATTATTTAACACTGATGATAACTTTGTTTCCAACAACCCCTTAAATGACGGTTTGCAGACACAGAGGCAATGTTTTCTCTGATGAACGTGGTTAGGAGGTGGCCAGGATTGGGTGTTGCTCTGGAGGACAGGTTAAAATAAAGCTGCCTTTTAAGATGTAATGCTAACTTTTATCTTTAAGCAAACAGAAGCAGTAGCTTTATTGCCTCCAATAATGGCTGACTAAGGCTGAATGGGAAGAGGGGGGCGATTCAAGCTGTACTAGGGAGAGGTTCAGGCAAATAAAAAGGTGGATTGTTTTTCTCTCTCTCCCCCCCCCCTTCGGCCTTCAAAGGGGGGGAAGTCTGTAAACCAAATTAACAGCTGATTTCCCTTTGGGGTTTTTTTTGTTGTTGTTGTTGTTCTCCTTCCTCTTGGGAGGTTCGTGCCAAGAAAACATTTATTGGGCAGTCAGCAGGTTCAAAGGTAAGGTGGATTTTAGCCCACCTGACACTGTGATAACGAAGACTCCTTATCAATCACAAGAGAAGGGATAAAGAACACTGCCCCATGCAGTCAATACATCTTACCCAGCTATTACAGGCAGTCCTTCGCTTACAAGGCTTCATTCAGTGACCGTTCATTTAGTGCAGACAGGTCAAACACAAGGCCCAGGGGCCAGAGGCGGCCCGCGAAGTGGTTTCAAGTGGCCCACAAAGCCGTCCTGGAAACAGTGAGGGAACGGCCCCCTCTGCCTTGGCCCTGGCCCAAGCCGGCCGGGAGCCAATGTACAATTTTGTAGTGGCCATCTATGCTGAAACGCATTCAGTCTTAGCTCCACAAGGCCGTCTGGAAACGGCGAAGAACCAGCCCCTGCAGCGTCGCCCCTGCCCCCTGGGTGCATTCTGGGGAGGTGTCACCCTTTGTGAGGAATGAAGAAATGCACCATCGCCTGGAAGTGACCAGCAAATGGCCCTCGCCTACTTCACATATCCGGCTTGATGGGCTCTGCCCTGGTCCTACCCCTTTCTGCCAGAGACCCTCAGATCTGTCCCACTCCTGCCCAGGCCCCCACAGGCACCCTTGATGTGAATGTAGAGCTGGCCACGCCCACCCAGTAGGCCACACCCACTCCATCCACGCCCACCCAGCAGGCCGCACCCACCCTGGCCACCACCACCCCCCGAGGGCAACTGCAATGCTGTTTCGGCCCTCAATGAAATTGAGTTTGACACCCCTGCTTTAGTGAGCCGAGTGCGACCTGTATGCTGAAAACGAGCAGGAGACAGAAGTCCTTTTTGCTCCCATACCTGTACTTTTATACAACATCCCTGTCATGGTCCCAGCTGCCATCGTGTTCAGATCGTCTTCTGCCCCTCGTGTCTTTTCAATGATGACGCCAAAGGCACTGTACAGCAGCGCTGGGAGGAAATTAAAATCGATAAAGGAGACATTAAAATGCCCGTCCAAGAAAAAGGACACAGCACAGAGTGTCAGCCCTTTTTTCAGCATCAGTGTTTCTCCCCCCCCCCTTTAAGGCTGGCTTGGAAAAAGGACATTTCTAAATTGGGGAAGACAAAAATTTCCCACCCTTCTCACAAGATCTCATGAATGAAACTGGAGCAGCACTCCCTTCAGGATTTCAGCTCCCTTCAGGATTTCAGCTCAACGGATGGCAGGCCCTGGCTTGAACTGCAGGGAGGGTTGCTGCCTTTGTCCGGGTCGTCCTTGACTTAACAAAGGTTCGTTGAGTGACTGTCTGAAGTTACAGCAGCACAGAAAACGTGACTTAGGACCGTCCTTGTAACCGTTGCGGCATCCCCGTGGGTCCCGGGATCAAAATTCAGACGTTTGGCAATGGACTCGTATTTTATGTTCCGGGGTCATGAGATTTCGCTTTTGCAACCTTCTGACCAACAAAGTCAATGGAATAACTAGTTTCACTTAAACAACCATGTTACTCGCTTAACAACTGCAGTGATTTACGTAGGAGGGTCATAAAATGGGGCAAAACTCACTTAACACACGTCTCGCTTAGCAAACAGAAATTTTTGGCCCAACTACGCTCGTAAGGCAAGGACTACCTGTGATTTGATCAACCACATTGTTCCTGCATGCTTAGCATCATCTTCACCACAACGAGGAGCAAAATATAGGAATGGGTAACTCAATTGTTTCAAACATTCTCTTGAAACTATTGCTCTGGATTTGGAAGGGAGCAAACTCGGGATCACAGACTCACAAAGGGGAACAACAGACATATCTTCCTTAAGGGCCAGGCAGAATTGTTTTTGGAAAGTGGGATTAGATTCAAAAGGTTTTTTTCTCCACCCTCTGAAAGCAGCGTGCCAAAGACCTCGGGCATGCCTCAGTTAGGACTCAGAATCCCTGTCGCTCACTCGTAAGCAGTTATCATTTACAAATATCTCTATTTTTAATAGCAGTAGACAACTCAAGGTTACCGGATTACAAAAGAAGCAAGTTGGGCTTGGGTCCTGCTGGTGGTGGAGACCCCTCATCCAACCAGATCAGACCCACAGCAGATCTTGATCAGTGGGTGCTGCTGTCTATGGTGGCGCAGGGGTTAGAGTGCCATATTGCAGGCTGACTCTGCCCACTGCCAGGAGTTTGATCCTCATCGACTCAAGGTTGACTCAGTCTTCCATTCTCCCGAGGTCGGTCAAATGAGGACCCAGATTGTTGGGGGGCAAGAGGCTGACTCTGTAAACCGCTTAAAGAGGGCTGTTTGAAGTGGTGTGTAAGTCTAAGTGCTATTGCTACTATCAAGGGAACCACTCCTACTGCAATTCATGTTAGACTGTCCACACACGTACACAAACCCAGATTTAAGGATAGAAATCTGAAGAGTCAGTCTCTTTTGAGCTTTCACATCTTGAAACAAAATATTTATCAAGCTCGTGAGATGGTAAGGACTGATCTGGGGATGTGCAGCTGCAGGTTAGCCGGTGTGAGTCATAAAAAGGAATTTTTCTCATCTTCCCCTCTGTCCAGCGATCTATGAGCCCACTGAATCCATACTGTTTGCACAAAAGCAGGTCAGGGTAAAAAATCGGGAACACAGAGAAACATTACACAAGAAAAGCCAACACAGCTGGGAAGCATGTTAATGTATCACCTGCCCGATTGCACTCTGAACCCAATTGCCTTTGAGCCCAAGTCTTATGGCCTGTTTTCCAGGGCTGCAATCTAGAACTGCCCCGTAGATAGGAGGATCCAGAGTAAGGTGACCCTCTAAACGTTCAATAAGCAGCATAATGATCAACAGCTTCAATCCTTGAATTGGGATTGAGAGCAGTGTGCTAGTAGGTCCTCTGCTTACAGCCGTTTGTTTAGTGACTCTTCAAAGTTGCAACAAGGGACTTAAGACCGTTGCAGCCCTCTCACGGTCACGTGGTCAAAATTTGGGCACTTGGCAACTGGGATGTATTTTACAAGAGCTGCAGCATCCTGAGGTCATGTAATCCTCATTTGCGATCTTCCCAGCTGACGCCCAACAAGCGAAGTCAATGGGGAATGCAAGATTCCCTTAACAACTGCACGATTCAGTTAATAAGCGTAGCAGAAAAGGTTGTACAATAGGATGCGACCCATTTAACACCGCCTTGCTTAGCAATGGAAATTGTGGTCCGGATTGCTGTCATAAGCCAAGGATGCTATTATGCTATTCAGTTGGCTAGTAAGAGCTCCTGGACTTGTTGTACGGTTCAGCTGGATCTTAAAATTTCCTTCTAACATCCTAGATTATTATTATTTTTTTGGAAAAATGGGAGTTTTGTAGATTTAGTTTGTGAAACAAGCACACTTACCTAAAGATCCAAGAGTGTTCGCCCATAATGCTCCTTGCCGGGTCACCATATTTAAAACCCTTCAAGAAAGGAGCAAGATGTTTAGGGTGATGCCCAAATAATAGGTCAGCCAATTCAACATTGTCTGCCAACACCCTATCTTATATAACCTGTTTTACATTAGGCAATGATAATTAAAGGATGGGCCAACCCTTCCCACGAAAAGGAACTGTGTGTTACACAAAAATTTCCATGTCATTTTACTCTGTAATGCCTGGATTAGCAAGGGCGTAAAATTGATTTACTGCCAATATATTTATTAGCTACCTTTAAGGCAGCTGGCATTGTCAAGTAAATCTGGAACTTTTGTGTAAATCCAATTCGGCACTACCCAATCAATCGGTGGCCATTTTTTTAAAAAAAAAAATCGCTTCCATAATTAGCATTTACTACAGCACAATCAATAGAAACAGCAATTCTTTCAGCAATAAACAGTTTAAACCAAGTAGCAAAGATCCTGGAGAATATCTGACAAGAAAAAAATGATCGTGTACGTGAAAAACAAGGCAGGTTCCTAGTAGATCCTTACTTAAGAACCTCTTTAGCTTCTAATTTTTCAATTCTGGAGAAAAGCACTAGGCATCAACATGTTATTAAAGCTTTTCTCTGTCAACATGCTGGTTAAATGTATTTAGCCTCCCTTCTCGAGAGAGGCTGAATCATGTTTCCAGATAAGGCAATCCATAACAAAGTCTCCTGGGAATGAAAGTTAAGGCAATTAGACCATTGTTTGATCCAGCTGCTAGAGAGTAAGCAAAATGTAATATAACTACTTTGCAGTGCGTCCCCAACAGAGACAATCTCTCTACTTTTCCACCATTGTAGGGACTTGGCTGGTAGAAGACTTTGTTCCCAGCTACTTTATAGAACAGAACAGTGAAGTGGTCACATCTATTTTATTAGCAGGTATTTTTTCTGACACCTGGTCATCAGTGAGCACAGGCTGAGACAATGACAGAATTCAAACAGAAACCATTACGGCAGTGGTTCTCAACCTGTGGGTCGGGACCCCATTTGGGGTCGAACGACCATTTCACGGGGGTCGCCAAACAACGCAGTCCACCATTTTTTCCCCCTTTTCCTTAGCTGTGCTACTCCCTTTTATTCTATTGGCTTTTGAAAGCCAATAGAATAGACTCTCTTGAATAGAGTCTAATTCTATTGGCTTTCAAAAGCCAATAGGAATTGTCCAGGCTGTCTCTGCCCTGCTGAGCCCGCCAAAAGTCCCATTCTGCAAACGGTGCTGCATCAGTTGAGTAGTCCTCGACTTACGACCGGTTGAGTAGTCCTCGACTTACGACCAGTTGGGGGGGGGGGTCGCAGCATTAAAAAGGTTGAGAACCACTGCATTACGGCTTAATATGAAATGAACAGGAGCAAAGTTCCTGTATGCATCATTTCTAGGCTGGAAAATAAACTTGCCAAGAAATCTATTCTGACATTTTGATATGCCTACGGGGCAGTAAATTTCACACAAAGGAGATAGACTGTTGTAGCAATACTTTACCAAGCTAGGGCAGGGGTCGCCAACCTGTGGGCTGCGACCTCGTAGCGGGCCATAGCCTGTTGGCCACCGGGCAGGCTGGCCAGTGCTCGCGTGTGTGCGTGCACACAGCCCCACTTGTGCTAGTGACATGGGGTAAAAAAACAGGACGCTGCGCCTTGGGGCGCAAAAATGAGACGCTGCTGTGCCTCAGGACACAAAAATGGGACGCCACCGCGCAAGAATGGGGCAGGGCCAGTATCACGTGGGCGCCAGCCCCGCCCCGTTTGCGCCGTTTGCGTGCTGGCGGCCCCTGCTCACACACATGAGATGTGTGTAAAATGCTTCCCCTTCCCTCCGGTCCGCCAACTAAGAAAAGTTGGCGACCTCTGAGCTAGGAGATCTATACAGAAGCACAAGCCTGCTGGTGAGCATATCTTCCACTTGGCTTAAGGCAGGATTTTATCAATTTTAAGATGTCACGACACCCTCTCCCCCATATAATGGTGCTGATGATGACGAAAATAGTGAACATGCAGGGTTTTTAAAAAACTAGATCACCCAAGTGGTGAGCTTGGGGCTATGCTCTCTCCCTTGCTATATAGGACACCTGGGTTTTTTTCCCCTGCCTTCTCCAACAGGAGGTTCTCTGAAGGTGCTCCACTCTCTACCTGCCTGCTTCTCCATCCTTTTGTCCCCCCCCCCCCGAACTGGTCATCCTCCATAAATTTTCTAACAACCTATCCCTGTTTGGAGAATGAAGCAACATTGCAACGACCTTTACTCCTGTCTTCTTAAAACTCCACAAAGGCTAATTGAAGTTTGGCACCATCTGCTGGTTCAAATCATTTCATTTTCATTTGACCATTTTTTTAAGTCTAAAATGACTGCTAGAAGCACCTATTTATTAGTCACTCTTTTTTGTTCCACTCGCCGGAGCAGAAAATGCAAAAACGTGCCCTCTCTGGCCTATTTAAACGCAACTGCCCTTCCAAAATGAAACTAAGAACAATGATACAATTACTGTACATGCCGCCATTCTGACTTGGGTCGTTCCACAAAAATCCACCTCCGTCCTCAGTTTTACGGAAAGCTCAATATTTTAATGCCAGGAACCAACCACTCAAAGCAATATCTAATTAATGTATGTATGTATACATACACACACACACACATAAAAGAAGCTGTTGGAAACATGTCAACAACAAAATGCAGACTTGTAGAGCCTGTTTGGACAATGTTCGGATTTTTCAACCAAGAAACAAAACCTCTAGAAAACTAAGGGATTATCAATAGTTATACACATCTTGTAAGGTTACAAGAGAATAATTATTATTACTAATTAACCATCCAAGATGCCCTCAGATTGTTATGAAGCCTATTTTTTAAAAAGTGAAGTTCAAGGGAAGCCCCATCTGCGGGAAGCAGGCAGTATGCAAAACCACACTCCTTCCGGTCTGTAGAAAAACCTCTGTCCAAGGAACTGGTCCCTGGTGCCCAAAAGGTTGGAAGCTGCTGGTATAAGTCATTGTTGTTGTGTTAGTTGCGAAGTCGTGTCCAACCCATTGCAACCCCATGGACAACGTTCCTCCAGGACTTCCTATCCTCTACCATCTGCTTCAGGGACTCCATCCAGCCACTTCATTCTCTGTCGTCCCCTTCTTCTCTTGCCCTCCATCTTTCCCAACATCAGGCTCTTCTCCAGTGAGTCCTTCCTTCTCATTAGGTGGCCAAAGTACTTGAGTTTCAACTTCAGGATCTGGCCTTCTAAAGAGCAGTCAGGACTGATCTCCTTTAGGACTGACTGGTTTGATCGCCTTGCAGTCTAGGGGACTCGCAGGAGTCTTCTCCAGCACCAGAGTTCAAAGGCCTCCATTCTTTGGCGCTCAGCCTTTCTTATGGTCCAACTTTCACAGCCATACATTGCAACTGGGAAAACCATGGCGGTGACTATATAAGTCAATACAAGAGTATAAGTCTACTCTTTTTTTCTAATTTAAGGTGAGCTTTTTTTTAAGGGGAATGATGAGATTTTTTTGTATCTATCTAATAATAAATTAATGCCAAACGTAAGACTTTTTAGCAGAAGGGGGAGAAACTATTTAGGAAATCATTCATATTTTATACCCGGGCTTCTTTTACATACAGCTCCAATCACCTTAATTTGCCTCAATGACACAACCAGCAAACTGGATCAGAGATTAAGCAAACACACGATACCCACATCGGTCACACATCAAGAATGGCTTTGCATTCTCAAAATAGAGAAGAAAATAAGTGAATGGCCTCTAACGAAATCAAATACTTACTGTACATTCCTAGGTTTGGACCAAGCCATGTTTTGTGTCTCTTTCAAACCTAATCTCAAGCCATTTAATGCCCCAAAAGCAGCTCCTGGTCAGATAAATCAGAACGGAATATGTGTTAAAAAAAGTTGATTAATCTCATGCTTGTATTTAAAACCAATCAATTGTTCTCCAACGATACTATGACGCTGATGCTTTTATTAGTCACATTATAGAAACGGAAATCACGGCCATGTAATGGAGGCTTTTCTCAACCTATCTTGGCTCCACTCTTAAATATTCCTTTCTCTGCCTTCCGTAACCCAAAACACTATTATTATTCTCAGCCAGAGATTCCCTAAAATATAATAAAGTATGCTTGGTTAATGTGCAGTAAAAAAATAACGTCTCCAAGCAATCTTCCACAATTTTTAAATTGCTTACAGAACTGCTAAAGCCAAATGAATAAAAATGTAAGTATTTATTTTTTAAAAAAAGAACGAGTTGCATACAATATACGTAATATGACAGGGATTTTTAAATCATGGGATGGAACACACTGAGATACTGCGAGCAAATGGGGTGGGGTGGGTGGGAATTAAAATTTCTTTTAAAAGCGCAGGTTTGTGCATGCAATGTGGGGCTTCAATTCCATGACATTCAAGCCGCCTCGTGACAGATTAAAATTTAATCATTGAAAGTGGTATATTTATTTCTTGCCCAACTCTGTCTCAAACTGCTATTGTCTCCAAAATGGTGATGACACAGGTCACAAGGAAGTACTTGTATCTTCCAATAATGGCATCAATTAAGACAGCTGCCTTCCCGCTGGACCTGAGCATTGATCAACAGAATTAAAGTTGCAGGAAAATATTTCACTCTGTATTGTGAGCAAGGAACACCTTATTAGTATACTGCCTTTTTCTGAAGCTGTTTAATAATCCCAGGTTTGTATTACTTCTTTTGAGGATTCATTCAATCTCAAACTGGGGTTTCATCCTTTAATGCACATCAAATACAGCACATTTTACCTGCCCAAAGGGAATTTTGAAGAATTGGCTGATTATTTCTCTCTCTATATTCTACTGAATACAAACGTCAATCCAGCGTCATGATTATCAATAAAAAATGATGACACCCACCTGTAATACAACATCCGCCAATTGTGAAGAACGCCAGTTCAAATCTGCCCCTGGTTTTACTAGCTCCAGTAGGTAAAATGAATTCATCTGTATCCTGAAACAAAAATTAATTCTTTTCAGCAATAGCTGCATTTGAATTCCTCAGCTTCGTGAAAAGAAGCGCATGATACTCATTTTATTAGAGCGTTTATGGGAAACTGTTAATTGTCCATCCACCCAGTAAATAAAATAGAAGGGGAAAAAGAGTCTACCTGATTTTCTTTTGAATTACTTATTAATGAGCCCTGCAAAAGGGAACAATTGTATTTCTACAGGACAAATAAATGTTATCTTCATTATCCAGCATCCATTGAGAAACTGTAATACATTCTTAATCCCGCATTAGTTACTATCGACATGGCTGATGTAATGTGCTGTACTAACACGGTTGCATAATACTCTGTTTCAGAAATTAATGCCAGCCCATAGCTGTGTATGCTTTCAGACCAGTGCTGACCAGGTTTTCTGCTCAACACACTCTCAGAAAAGCACAATACTGTGAACACTGGTGTCAGTTACCTCCAGAACGGAGAAAATGACAGACAGCTAAACACACAGTACCTTTCTCTCCCAGCAGTGTAACACTGTCAAAGACACAGTTCTGACAGACAGCTGACCACCGCTGGAATTTAGGAACAAAATATATTCAGAATCACCAACTCTTGAGATTAGGGCTCTTTTCTATAGATGGGGAGGCTTGAAAAAACCCACAGGAAAACAATAAGAATGGATTATGAGAGTATGCCTAATATTTTCTTCTTAAATGATATAAAGCAAAGAAAAAAAATCTGAATTTTTTTCAAATTCAAAAAAACGGGCCCAGCTATGTAACTTTTTATTTGGCAGTTGGGGAAAGGAAAATGCAATGCATCCAAACAGAGTGGAAAGAAATCTGCACCGTAACAACTTAGGTTACACAGGTTTGTGTGACGTATTTAAAACGTTAAGGTAGTTTTATTCATGACAGGGTAATCCATTTGTTTTCTGCTTGACTTTATTTTCACACATTCCCAAGGACTTTGTGGGAGAAATATATTTTCACCTGAAGTCAGCCAGATGTTTTGAAGAAGTCCTCCAGTCAGAGAATTAAAGAACACAGCTCCTGACCACAAACAACTGCGCTCACCTAACTGCGGAGTCTTTATGTACCACATTTTCAGTTACCTATTTTAATCGTATTCAAAACCACATCAATGTTATACATCAAGTAATTTATACAATCACAAATTCAAGGCATTTTTGAATGTTGATTCACATACAAGCACAACTCAATACACAGAGAGCAATCATGGAGGTCTCACCTGTATGAGATATCTAGGGTCAACATTTAAATAAGGGGACAAGGGATTCATTCCAGTCACTGAAAGAAAAAAAACAAGGTTTCAAGTTGGAAAGTATGCCAACCTAGCATAAAAAAACAATTCAAGCAAAGAGGGCTGCATGTAATGTTTGACTTAGAAACATTCATTTAATGACTTTTGGATAGTTGAAGAGCACTAAAAAAAGTGACTTACAATGCATGACATAAAATATTGGGAATATGTACAGTGAGATGACTAATATGAAGAAATTATGACTGGCAAGAATTGGATTAAATAAATATAAAGGAATCTAAGCAAATATATTATAAAGATAGGATGTATGCTGAACTAATGAGATGATGGTTATGAGAATAATATAAGCTGGAAAAAATGTTATATAGAGATTACTATTTCTATAAATATAAAAAAATGCCTATACCTAATCATTTATATATTGAAAATATTAAGAATTATATTTTGGCTAAGGTTGAAGAAGGAAAATACAAATGGGAGAAGGGAAGATCAAAGAAATGTATTATTAATTAATATATGTATGGAATTATCAAATTTAATCATTATTGACTGTTAATTATTACGGTCCTTTTTTTTCTTGTTAAAATATAAACCAAGACAACACGCTGAACACCAGGCACTAGAGATTGTTATAGTTAAAAACCAATAAAATATGTATTTAAAAAAAAGGTGACTTACAATTGCATTTACAATTGTCACAATATCCCAAGGTCACATGATCAAAACTTGGGCGCTTTCCAGTTTCCAACAAGGAAAGTGAAAGGGAGAAGTCATATTCACTTAATGACTACATAATTTAGTTAACAGTGGCAAAAAAGTAGTAAAATTAGATACAATTTACTTCGCAGCCGCCCTGCTTAGCAATGGAAATTTTGGTCCAAACGCTGGCCATAAGCTGAGGACTATCTACCTGTACTCACAAATGGAGACTGAGTTTCTAAGTGTGCTTCAATTTAAATCAGGTATGAGGGACATGAAGGACCAGATCAGATTCAAAGGATCTGCAAACAGGTTTCCTTTAATAAGAATGTTAAACATCAATGATCAGCTGTCAGTCCATCAAAAATAAATTTGAATTTATAGGCATATATTGAGGATTTTTTTCTGATCAGTTACGGGTTTCTACCTTAATTATGTTCTTACTGATATTTAGGATTTGGAAAAAAAAAAAAGAAAGCTTATCAGCTAGCCACGTCCCTAAATCTCTGCTTGCCAGTTTGTGTAACAGTTTGGATGAAGCTGAACATCAGGGACACATATTATCTTTAACCAAGGCCGGACATAATGTTCTAGATCGGGGCTTTTCAACCAGTGGTACGCGTACCACGGGTTGAACAGCACTATAAAAAAAAGTGTAAAAGTGAATGAGGTGAAGCAGCAACAGCGCCGCACAGGCTTATGGGAAAGTCAGCTGGAACTGCACGAGGCGTGGCCTGGGTCCTACTAAGAGCCCAGGATAGAAAGGCGCAGCTCCAGCTGATTGGTGGCGGCCTTGGGGGTGGTAGGCAGACTCACAGTCTTCGGGTGGAGATTGAGCTGGAGCTGCGCAAGGCATTGCCTGCCTGGGTCCTGCGGAGACCCCAGGATCAGTGCGTGCAGCTCCAGCTGATTGGGGATGGCAGGCAGCCTCACGCAGTCTTCAGGCAGAGATTCAGCTGGAGCTGTGTGAGGCATTGCCTAGGTCCTGCTGAGGGGGAGAGAAGAGATGATATAAAAGGGGGAGGGGAGAGAAGAGAGGATATAAAGGGGGGGGAGAGAAGAGAGGATATAAAAGGGGGGGAGAGAAGAGAGGATATAAAAGGGGGAGATAAGAGAGGATATAAAAGGGGGGGAGAGAAGAGAGGATATAAAAGGGGGGGAGAGAAGAGAGGATATAAAAGGGAGGGAGAGAAGAGAGGATATAAAAGAGGGGAGAGAAGAGAGGATATAAAACAGGGGAGAGAAGAGAGGATATAAAGGGAGGGAAAGAAGAGAGGATATAAAGGGGGGGGAGAGAAATTTGTTAAATGAGTTTTGCCCCATTTTATGACTATTCACAGTTGTAAAGTGAATCACCACAGTTGTTAGTAACATGGTTGTTAAGTGAATCTGGTTTCCCCCATTAACTTTGCTTGCCAGAAGGTTGCAAAAGGGGATCACATGACCCTGGGACAATGTGACCATCATAAATATGAATCGGTTGCCAAGCATCTGAATGTAAATCACAGGACCCTGGGGATGCTGCAAACGGTCATAAGTGTGAAAAAATGGTCATAGGCCACTTTTTCCTAGTGCTGTTGTGTAACTTTTAACAGTCACTAAGCAAACTGTTGTAAGTCAAGGACTACCTGTACTTTATCACTTTTTTCCGGGTTTTGTTTTTTTTTTGGTCAAGTTTTTGACACCTTGCTAGGTGACTGGTGGTCCTCGGATGTTGCCATATTCTAAAAATGGCACAATGAGCGAAAAGGTTGAAAAGCCCTGGCCTAGATCACCTCCAAATTGTATCAAGCAATTCAACGTCAGTATGAAACCTCATTCTCCAGGGTGAAGTTAAAACTTCAGACAAAGTCACCACCACCACATTTAGTTTACCTAGTTACTGTGCAGCTATGTTGCTTTGCCATGGAAGCCTAAAAGCTGGACCTATTATATTCAACAAGGTTTCAAGCAAGTTACTCCATGCCATGTGTCCCCTGGATAGCTTCAAACACTTATCACCCACCCCAATAAACAAACCCAATCAATGAACGATGGCTGAGGATTTGTGGCACCAGCCCAGCTCCAGCAGAAAAGAGCAAGTGGCTGGGATGTCCGGATTCAGCAGAAAAGAGCAACTGGCTGGGCCTGGATGAGAGACCACCAGGAGATCCCAAAGGGCTATAGGCTAGCCTGGCACAACGGAGGGGGGGAAGGCAATTCAAAGGTGGGGGGAGGGGACTTTCCCCAAATGAATTCAAGGAAGGGCAACGTCAGGATCTGGAAGGCGAGAGGAAGCCCTGAGGGAGGCTGGAATAGAAGACCTCCAAGGTCCCTTCCAGTTTAGTTTTAGTTAATTTTACTTTACTTTCGTTTCTGTTCTACTCTATTTTCAGATCAGGGTTTGAGATAGCCTATTTCCCCCAAAATAAGACCCAATCGGTGTGTGTGTGTGTGAGATGTCCGGATTCAGGGGAGAAAGCAGGGCTGCACCAGGATTAGAGACCACCAGGAGATCCCAAAGGGCCTGGCACAACGGAGGGGGGTCTTTTCCCAAACGAATCCAAGGAAGGGCAATGTCAGGATCTGGACTAGAAGACCTCCAAGGTCCCTTCCAGCTCTATTCTATTCTAGATTCAGATCAGGGTTTGAGGTATCTGGTTTCCCCAAAAATAAGACCCAATCGTGTGTGTGTGATGTCCGGATTCAGGAGATAAAGCAGGGCTGTAACAGGATTAGAGACCACCAGGAGATCCCAAAGGGCCTGGCACAACGGGGTGGGGGGGACTTTTCCCAAACGAATCCAAGGAAGGGCAACGTCAGGATCTGGACTAGAAGACCTCCAAGGTCCCTTCCAGCTCTGTTCTATTCTAGATTCAGATCTGTGTTTGAGATCGCTGGTTTCCCCAAAAAGAAGACCCAATCGGGTGTGTGTGTGTGTGTGGCGGATGCGCACGTGCTGCCCGATGGACCTTGAAACCCCCCTTCCTCCTGAAGGCCGCTTTCCGTGGGGGGGGGAGTTTGAATCTCTCCGCCTACCCCCCCCACGGAAAGCGGCCTTTCCCCCCAAGCTCGGCCCGCCCAGCCTCCACGCGGGCCCCCAGGCGCGGACGGGAAGCGGCGAGGCCCACTCACGAGGGACGCCGGCCAGGTCCGCGTGGGAATAGCCCGGCCCCGCCATTCCTCCGGCGCCGAAGAGGCCGGCGAATCCGGAGCTCTTGGAGTTCCCGGCGCCTCCTTCCATGCTGGTGGCGGCGGAGGGCCTGGGCCGCCCTTGCTCTTCCTTCTCCTCCTCCTCCGGCTGCTTCTTCTCCTTCGCCTCAGCGCCGCGTTGCCCCCTCGGCGCCGCCCCTTCCGGCCCCCGACCGGAAGCTGCCCTTCGCCGCGAGGACGACCTCGTAAAAGAGCGAGAGGAGGAGCGCGGGTCATCCGCGTGCGTGCGAGCGAGCGAGGGGCGCGCGACGTCATCCGCGTGCCAGAGAGCGAGGCGCGCGTGACGTCATCCGCGTGCGAGCCAGGCGCGTGCGCGACGTCATCCGCGAGCGCCGTCGCCGCCGCCTCCTCCTGCTCCGCGTCTCCCTCCCCTCCCTCGCTCTCTTTGCGACAGTCGCTTTCCGGCTCGGCGTGGAAACGAGGCAGAAGGAGGAGAGGGAGGATGCGGCCGGGCCTCCCCGTCTCCCGGGGGTGACCTGGGTCGCCCCCCCCAGCATGAGCGCGGGGCCCGAGTGTGAACCCCCCGGGAAAAGGGCTCGCGTGGGCCCCTGCTTTCCCGCCGGCGCTTCCGGGGGGAGGCCGGCGCCTTCCTCCTCCTCCTCCTCCTCCTCCTCCGAGAAGGTGGTCCCGCCGCCCCCGCCGCCTCCCCGCCGCCGGGAGGAAGGGCCCGGACCCGGCAGCCCCGCAGCCACCGTGGGGAACAAAGGCGAGCGCCCCTGTTGATTGAGACACGGGAGGGGTGGAGCGAGGAGGGGAGGGATGGGTCACCACCAGGAGATCCCTGCCCTGCTTGCTTCTGTGAACTCCTACCCCCCCCCCCAGGCTCCACCCTAGACTGGCATGTTCCCTTCGCCTGCAGTCTTGACTGGGGTTTGCTAATGTCTTTTTATTATTATTATTATTTTCTTCTGCTGGAGAACTGCAGTTTCTCTCCTGTGACGTTCTGGGTGCCACAATTCTTCTCCTCCTTCTTCTTCTCCTCCTTCTACTTCTCCTCCTCCTCCTCCTCCTTCTTCTTCTTCCCATTATTATTATGGATCATCGCACAGTCAGCCAGATGTTCAGACTGGATTTGGCATTTTTGTCTACCTATCGAGTCCTTACCCAGGACCTGGGATAGGCAGATGTGGATGTTTGATGGTATTACAGATATCGTCGCAGGATGGAAGCAGTTCCTAGTAAGGCCGCCTTTTGCAATTGACTAATAGCGAATTTGTCAATGCCAATGGTGTTCAAGTGGTGCTCCAGTTGTTTTGGGATTGCACCCAGGGAGCCTATTACTATTGGTACTATTATTATTATTATTATTATTATTATTATTATTATTATTATTATTATTATTAAGAGCCAAGGTGGCGCAGCAGTTAGAGTGCAGTACTGCAGGCCACTTTAGCTGACTGTATTCAGCAGGTCAGCGGTTCAAATCTCACCGGCTCAAGGTTGACTTAGCCTTCCATCCTTCCGGGGTAGGTAAAATGAGGACCCAGATTGTTGGGGGCAATGTAAATATATATATATATATACATTGCTTACTGGTGTACACCGCTTAGAGAGTGCTTGCACTTAAAGCGGTATATCAGTCTCATAAATAAATAAATAAATTATTATTATTATTATTGGATTTTGCATGGTGTTCAGCCTGTAAGAGGCCCAGCTCTATGTGGAGCCACCTACTAAAGAGGCTTTTCTGGCTGTGTTTTAACTACAGGTAGTCCTCGACTTAACAACAGTTTGTTAACTGGCCACTCCAAGTCACAACTGCACTGAAAAAAGGGACTCGTGGCTGCTTTTTATGCATACTACCCTTGCAGCGTCCCCCGTGGTCACGTAATCAAAATTGGGACACTTAGCAACTTGTTCATATTAACAACGGCTTGCAGTGTCTAGGGTCATGTGACCTTCTGACAAGCAAAGTCAATGGGGGTAGCCAGATTCCCTTAACGATTGTGTTACTAACTTAACAACTGCGGCGAGTCCCTTAACAACTGTGGCAAGAAAAGTCCCAAGTTGAGAACTACCTGGAGCTTGTGGGTCAGAAATGTGACACTTTGGTAAATAACACAGGCTTGGATCTGCAGCTAATTCTGAATGCTTTGGTATATTTCCCCAAACTTCCTGCCCATTAAATACCAGAGTAAATAACGTATTAACTTATAGAGGTCTGTTTTATGATTGGCATGTTTGGGTCCAACCTTTCTGCTTCCGGTAAAACTATTGTATATTTCCTTCCAGTTTACAAACAAAAGAGGATTACCTCTTGGATGGAGAACAAAGGACCCAGAACTATAGAATCTGAAAGGTAAAAGAAAACAAAGTTCAACTAATTTTATTGCGGCTGCAGCCGGCTGCTGCTAGATTATTCCACCAGGACGCTAATATCCCACTAGAACAGGGGTGTCAAACTTGCAACGTCACGTGACGTGTCGCGACATATTGTGACTTTTTTTCCATTGCCGTGTGGTTTCAGCATGACGCATCCAGCCCGCAGGCCGGCAGTTTGACACCCCTGCACTAGAATGTTAGCTTTTGCTGTTAATAAAAGTATATAAATGTAGGTCTTTGGTTATTCGGGTTTTCTCCCGCATCAAATTGGAAGTGTCTTGGCGACGTTTCGACGAAGTCTCATTCGTCGGTGTTTTCAGCTTCGTGCTTTGAGCAGCAATATATATATATATATATATGTATATATGTATATATGTATATATGTATATATGTATATATGTATATATATATCAGAAAGGAATATTAGAAAGGAATATTGTCCTTTGCTATGTTCAGGAAATTAGAAAAAAGGAATACAGGTAGTCATCAACTCACAACCACAATTGAGCCCAGGTGTTAAGTGACTTTTGTCCCATTTTATAACTTTTTTTGACACGGTTGTTAAAGAGATCACTGCAGTTATTAAATTAGTAAGTGAATCTGGCTTCCCCATTAACTTTGCTAGTCTGAAGGTCACAAAAGGTGATCACATGACCCTGGGACACTGCAGCCAAGCATCCAAATTTTAATCAGGTAACCATGGGGATGCTGCAATGGTCCTAAGTGTGACAAATGGTCATTTTCTTTCAGTGTCGCTGCAACTTGGAACAGTCATTAAACAAATCATAAGTCCAAGGCTTCCTGTAGCATAGCAAAGCATAGAAACACCTTAGCGACACATGGTCCTTTGTGCTAAGGGTGGGAATCAGGACAGAAGCTCATCTAGAAAATTTAGGATGAAAACGATGCGCCAGTCAAGCTCTTTACAAGCTTCTTAATCTTTTAATTCAGAGAGAGGCAACTGCGTGCCCTCCAGTTGTTGGGATACCAACGGCTAGCAGCCTGGCCAGCGACAAGGAATTGTGTGTAATGTCTCTCTGTTTAAATCAGCATTTCTCAACCTTGACCATTTTAAGGCATGTGGACTTCAATTCCCAGAATTCCACAGCCAGCATTGCTGGCTGTGGAATTCTGGGAGTTGAAGTCCACATGCCTTAAAATGGCCAAGGTTGAGAAACACTGGTTTAAATGTACCGCACTTTGCATCTTCTTTCTGCAGACAAAGCAAAAGAAGCAACATGGAAGCCGAGTCCAAAATGGCCTTTGTTAAAAAAGACCGTGTTTTCGACCATGATGCCAAAAAGGCCGAGGGCCTCTTCGTGGAGGAGTGTTCAGATTTATCCGCAGAAATGAGCAAGAAGCCGGGTTTTTTTCCTCCAGCTGAGGGCCCCTGTAGGGATAAGCTGTCCGAAGCCGAGGCTCTGAAACCAAGCGAGCCCTTGACCAACGTGAACGTTCACCAGATGTACAAAACCGGCGCTCAGCTTTATCGAGCCGGTCATGAAATCCGGGGAAACTGCACCGCCCGGAAGCTTTCTCCGGGCAGCCCCACAAAGACGCCCACTCTGAAACAGGCTTCCAAAGACTGGGATCCCGCAAGGGAGGCAACTCCGCAGAGCCCGCAGCTGTTGATGAAAAATTGCAGCCCTGAGGATCCAGTGGGTGACAGCGCCGAGCCTGAGGAGGCCGACGTGATCCCGGAGAGCCCGCTTTCCAACAGAGGTGGCCTGGCCACTTCGTCTGACCTTTATGGCTTTCGGGACCGAGACCGGGGATGCTTAGGGGAGTCGCCCTCGTTTGAGAAGGAGAGCGAGCCCGAATCCCCCATGGACGTGGACAACTCCAGAAACAGTTGCCAGATGTCGGAGGCCGACGAGGAAATCAGCCCTCTTCTTGAGGACCACGGCAATATCGATGTGCCGGAAGGACCAGACAACTCCGCCCAGTTCCGCAGGGCAGAGACGGACCTGGATTCCAGAAAGAGACAGTCTGCCCCCCAGAAAAGCGAAGGGGACCGATTTAGCCTCAACCCCGAAGCCGTGGACAATCCCACGAAAGATCCCGAGATACTCACGGACGTGTCAGGAACTTCGCCTCACCTGGCATCGGAGGGCAGAAGCGCCAAGCACGGGGGAAGGAAGGATTCTAAAATCACCGCCCATTTCCCACGGGTCCATAGAGGGGATGAAAAAAGGTATTGGTGGGTCCCCCCCTCCCCTTCCCCCCCCGGCTCTTAATTTGGGATTACAAAGAGCTGCGTTTGAGTTATCCTAAGAGGTGGCGCAGCAGTTAGAGTGGAGTACTGCAGGCCACTTTAGCTGACTGTGTTCAGCAGGTCAGCGGTTCAAATCTCACCGGCTCAAGGTTGACTCAGCCTTCCATCCTTACAGGGTAGGTAAAATGAGGACCCAGAATGTTGGGGGCAATGTAAATATATATATATACCGCTTTAAGTGCACATTGCTTACAGGTGTACACCGCTTAGAGAATGCTTGCACTTAAAGCGGTATATAAGTCTCATAAATAAATAAATAAAATAAATAAATAAACTCAAAGTAAACTCAAGAGTAAAACGGGAAATAGACACAGGTACGTCAGGGTGGCAAAATCACGGGATGACAGACGAGAGGGCAAGAGGTTTGGGGGATGGTGCAAAACACACTTTGAGTTTTGAAAAGGCAATTTTCGTCGTTCCATTATCCTATTTTATCGATCCCAATTGGGAATAAAAGACGATGTTTTCTGGATTTCCACCCCCCCCCCAACTTAGGACAAAACAAGCGATTTAGTTTTACTGTGGTGCTAATAATAATTTTTTGGAGGGGGGTAGAAAAAAAAAAAACCCGATTAGCTGATCCACAATTCTCACAAAATAATGCCAGAGGTTGCAATTGGAAAGTGGGCATTTAATGTCGTCATCATCGTAATAAAGGAAGAATCGTTTGTACTTTTTTTGGAATTTTTTTTTTTTTTAAGGGTGAGCTTCACTAAGGCCAAAAGTGTCGCTGTTTTGCGGTTGAATAATGTGACTAGTTCTTTTGACGTGTTAGTTGAGAGTCCTGAATGCAGGTAGCTTTGACCTGCAACTACAGTTGAGCCCAAAATTCCTGTTGCTACGCAAGACAGCTGTTAAGTGACTTTCTTGCTACGGTTGTCAAGTTAGTAACATGATTGTTAAGTAAACCTGCCTTCCCCGTTGACGTGGCTTGTCAGAAAATCACAAAAGCTGATCGTATGACCCCGGGATGCTGCAACCATTATAAATTGGGAGTCCATTGCCAAGCATATGAATTTTGATCAGGTGGCAAGGTGGATGCTGCAGTGGTCAAAAGCAGTGGTTCTCAACCTTTTTAATGCCGCGACCCCCAACCGGTCGTAAGTCAAGGACTACTCAACCAGTCATAAGTCGAGGGCTACTCAACTGGTGCAGCACTGTTTGCAGAATGGGACTTTTGGCGGGCTCAGCAGGGCAGAGATAGCCTGGACAATTCCTATTGGCTTTTGAAAGCCAATAGAATTAGACTCTATTCAAGAGAGTCTATTCTATTGGCTTTCAAAAGCCAATAGAATAAAAGGGAGTAGCACAGCTAAGGAAAAGGGGAAAAAAATGGCAGACAGCCTTGTTTGGCGACCCCTGTGAAATGGTCGTTCGACCCCAAATGGGGTCCCGACCCACAAGTTGAGAACCACTGGTCAAAAGTGTGAAAAACAGTCATTAACCATTTTTTTCCCCCAGTGCTGTTATTCGTTCAAACAGCCACTATGCAAATTGTTGTAAGTTGCGCAATTCCTGTATTGTATCCTTGTTAGTTTTAGTTTTCATTAACGGTCCTTTTTGTTGCTATTTATTTTTCTCTACCCAATGAAAGTTTTATCTTAATCTTTCAACGACAGGAGTGAATACCGCCTGGGAAAGAAGTATTGTAAATACAGCCCTCCCTCACTCCCATCTAACAAAAAGTGGTTTGGGACGCCGATTGAAGAGATGCGAAGATTGCCTGTCTGTGGGCTTCATCTTCCTCACTTGAGACCATCTGCCAAACACACGGTTACAATCAGAGTATGACATTTCCTTTACTAGCAAAATCTTTCTTTCCTGGAGCGACCCTCTTCCATGACATCTTGACATTTTGTAGGTTGAGGAAGCACTTAGAGTGCTACATCCTGACCCCACCCCCCCCAAAAAAACTTTGGATCTCAGAAAGAGAGAAAATTGGGGGTGAAGGGTATGTTTCATATAAACGCAGGTTCAAAGAAAAACTTAGCAGATTTCATCTGCTTCTTGATTTTCAGACTATCGTTTTTTCCCACACTTCACCATTTGTCTACCCGAGGTTTCCTACCTGGAGAGTAGAGAAAGAAGGAAATCATCTGGTTCATGTCAGTTGCATTCATCACAAGCAGATTTTTTTTGAGACGCAGTACCTAAATTGCTTGTCAATTCTTAATAGTTCTAAGCCAATAGGACATGTTTCTTTTTCTGTATTACGGCAATTTGCTACCACGTCATTGAGAAAGACAGAAAAATCAAATATCTATCTGATGTAAAATGAGTATCGGTTGCATTGTTTGAAGTGAAGTGTTAGATGTAATTACAGATATTCTGTGTCTGTCTGTCTATCTATCTATCTATCTATCTATCTATCTATCTATCTATCTATCTATCTATCTATCTATCTATCTATCTAAAAATCCAAATTTATTTTTCTGACAAAGAGTTAAAGAATTAAATTGGGAGACTAAGATGGCCATTTCGAGCTCATTCTGCTCTCTTCAGTTAGCCACACCCTTTATGGAATTCGAACCTGGGCAGTTTACATACTAGGCAGTGTTTAACCACCAAGCCACAGGCTTTCCTCCCCTCTTTGCCAGCCGAGTCAAGGGAAAACTGGTCTGTCTGAAAAACTTCCTGTATATACTCCCTTGACTTGGCTGGCAAAGAGGGGAGGAAAGCCTGTGGCTGGGTGGTTAAATCACTGCCTAGTATGTAAACTGCCCAGGTTCGAATCCCACAAAGGGTGTGGCTAACTGAAGAGAGCAGAATGAGCTCTAAATGGCCATCTTAAGTCTCCCAATTTAATTCTTTAACTCTTTGTCAGAAAAAGAAATTTGGATTTATAAATGTTTTTTTGGGAACAGAACGGTTGCCTAAGTCGAAGTGGGCCTCTGTATATCAATGTTCCTCAACCTGAACAACTTCTAAAACGTGTGGGCTTCAATTAGCTGAGGAATTCTCGGAATTGGAGTCCACAAATCTTAAAGCTGCTAAGGTTGAGAAACGCTGGCACGTATATTTTGTGATTGGAAAAGTGTTGCGGATACGGACCTTAAGCTTAAATGTGATTTGCTTCTGTTTTTCGGCATATCTTCTCGGTGGCAGGTAGATCTTCTGAAGGAAGGAGAAGTGCCTAAGCCTTTCCCGACCCATTATAAGGATTTGTGGGACAATAAGCATGTGAAAATGCCTTGTTCGGAACAGAATTTATATCCTGTAGAAGATGAGGTGAGGCCACGTAACTATTTAAGCAACAGGATCTTCTGTGTTTCTTAGCTATGCTCTCAGTGCCTTTGATGATCGTTGTGTTACTCGATCACGTTTGGGGGCCAATTGTTTCTGATGTGCATTTTACAACGATTACATCGTTGTGTTACTCAATCACGTTCATTGGCCAATTGTTTCCGATGTGCATTTTACATTTTACAATATACTGATATAATCATCAGTATATTGTAGAAATCTAATATAATCCATGGCAGCCCCTTTGCTGTTTATAATTAGTAAAGCTTTTGCATTCATTAACATTTAACATTAACAATAACATTTCCATAAGCAAGCCTTATACTTCTGTGGTACACAAATCTGTGGTTCCAAGTCGTTCCATATTCACAAGCAAAAAAATTAACGTTTTATGAAATTGGTAAAGTTCAGCATTAGAAAGGGACAATAATTTTATTGGGTAAGTGGGACTACCTTGGTGCCTTGATACTCATTGTTAATTGGTTCTGGGAGGCGCCATGAGTAGCAAAAACAATGAGTAGCAAAACAGTTTTTCCAAGGAAAGAATAATGTAGTGAGTCACAGGGAAGCCAGCATCAACAAGTTCTAGATTGTGCATCGAGTATCAAACAAACGATGAGTACCAGGACAAAAGTGGCAACGAGAAGCGGCAACAGCACAATGCGCCACATGGCATCTGACCGCAAGGCAAGCAGTGTTGTGACAGGTGTTGGGGTGTGGGAGGCCTGGCTGTGGTGCTCCTAAAGTAAGACCCCCCCAAAAAATAAGACCTGGTGACTCTTTTGGAGACAAACAAAATATAAGACCAGGTCTTATTTTCAGGGAAACACGGTTAGTAGAAAACGTGAAGCTAAATTATATTTCCTGGTGCAGTCCCATTGATTAGTTGGGGGGGGAAAAGGTTGATTACTGTGTACAATACTCTTAAAACCTAAGTAAATGCATCATACTTCCTTTCCTAATAGCAACACAGTTGTAAATTCGGTTGATGCTTTATAAATTGCATGCATGCCCCGTTTTCTTTGTTCTCGCTGGGGAGTAAATCTTAAAAGAGGTTGAATGGTCTTAATATGATATATAAACATTTGTTCTTTATAAAGAACGGTGACAGGACTGCTGGGAGCCGGTGGGACTTAATACAGACTTCGCTCCTCAAGAAATTCACCTGTTCGCGAGATCTGAAGGTAAAGATTTTTCAGTTACAGACAGTAACCAGCCAAAGAATTACAGACAGTCCTCAGTTTACCAGCCAAAATTTGGACCAGAATTTTCATTGCTAGGGAACGGAATTGGTGACTGATTTTACATGTTGTTTTTTTCCCCATGGCTATTAAGAGGATCACTGCAATTAAGGGAATCGGTCGTTAAGCGAATTTGCTTCCCCCTTTTGCTTGTCAGAAGCTTGGGTTTTTTTTTTTTGTATAAATTATTTTAGTTTTTATAGGGTTAGGAATAAGGTGGGGTTGGGGTTTGGGTTAGGGTTAGGGTTGGGGTTGGGGTTTTTCCAAATAACATTCTCAACATTTAGCAAACAGCATGATGTCTGGGTTCACGTGTTTAACAAACAATAATAGATAACAGTTAATTGTCATAAACAATATGTTAATTAATCGCTCAATAGCTTCCTTCTTGCTCATATATATTCAAAGTTACATATCATGTTCCTTTCTCTCTAATTTGTCTTTCCAGCCATTGATAGAAATTATCCCACGTTCTAAAGTACACTGAGTCTTCTTTCTCTTTTATCTTTAAACTTTTGGGGTGGGAATATAAAGTGGGAATTGGAATACACGGCTTTTTACTCTTATTCGCACCCTTTCTAAGATTCCAGAAACAAAATTCCACATTTCTACTTTTTCAGGCAATCTTGAAAGCCTGGGAAGGTGCTAAAGCAGTGGTTCTCAACCTTTTTAATGCCGCGACCCCCAACCGGTTGTAAATCAAGGACTACTCAACCGGTCGTAAGTCAAGGACTACTCAACTGGTGCAGCACTGTTTGCAGAATGGGACTTTTGGCGGGCTCAGCAGGGCAGAGACAGCCTGGACAATTCCTATTGGCTTTTGAAAGGCAATAGAATTAGACTCTATTCAAGAGAGTCTATTCTGTTGGCTTTCAAAAGCCAATAGAATAAAAGGGAGTAGCACAGCTAAGGGAAAGGGGAAAAAAATGGCGGACTGCGTTGTTTGGTGACCCCCGTGAAATGGTCGTTCGACCCCAAATGGGGTCCCGACCCACAGTTGAGAACCACTGTGCTAAAGAGAAATTAAACCGTTTTAACCCACACAAAAGTTTGCTGTTCCTGTCCTTAAAACCCCAAAAGCTGTGTGAAAGAGCTACCACAAGTAGCCATTTTAGGCTTTAGGGAGCCCTAAAGATAGGAACGGAAGGCTTCCAGAGATTTCCCCTCTGAAGTGTAATTTTTGAAAACATATACTTGTATTTTCGGCAAACGTCAGCGCATATTACATCTGTGGCCAAATAGTTGAACAGCAGAGGGTGCAGTTGATTCAAAACACTCTTCCCCCCCCCCCCCCAATGCCAATGCTGTGCTATATTTTTTATTTTTGCAGGAAGCAATCCTCAAGTATAATATTTCCTATGCCAAAAAATGGGACTTCACAGCCCTGGCTGACTTCTGCGATAAGGTAATTAAAAAAAATAAAATAAAACGACCCTGAAACTTGCAAAATCATAATAGTAATTCAAATAACTGCTTCCTGTAGTTGGAATCTGATTGGAATGGTTATTTTATTTCCTCCCGCTTCATTCTATTTTATACAGGCTTTTCCTTGTAGCGAACTGAAAGGGCCTAGCGTGGCGTTCACAGAGGCTAGAGAAAAACGGGGAGGGGTTGTATCTGTGTCGTGTGTGTGTTAAGGAAACTTTGTGAACAGAACAGGTAGCCCTCCACTCAGAACCGCTACGGAGGCCAAAATTTCCATCGCTAAGTGAGACGGTGGCTAAGTGAGCGTTGCCCCCATGTTACGACCTTTCTTTGCCACAAGTAAATCACTGCAGGTGTTTAGTACGTAACACAGCGGTTACGTGGATCCAGCATCCCACTCGACTTTGCTTGTCAGAAGCTCGCAAAAGGGGACACGGCCACTTGCCCTAAATACAGCCTGAATTTTGATCACGTGACCACGGGGATGCTGCCCTGGTCGTAAGCGTGAAACACAGTCACCTCCCATTTTTCCCCGTTGTAACGTTGAACGGTCCCTAAATGACTGGGCAACCCGTCACCTTTTTTTTTTTTCCTCTTTCCAATTAACAGCGCTCGGGTGTTGTTTTTTTTAAGTTTCTTTCCTAGTGCCGTAGCTGCATTTGCTCCCTCCGGGAGTAGCCATAATGAACCCTTAAGTGCAATTGTCCCTTAACTCTTTCTGACGAACGCGCAGAGAGTCTGCCCCTGATGATTCCGGTCATAAATAAGAGCCGGGAAGAACATGAGTCGCTTTAATTTGACTCTCCAAGCCAGCTCTGTGGCAATCGTTAAGGAGACGTGTAAGGATTTATGGCTGAGTTGCTGTACATCTGGGGAAGAAACCAGCCGACAACATCACAAAGTACAGGCAGCTATAAGGAGAAGATTTAAGAGCAGACAGGGTTCTGTAGTGTGGCTGTATTGCCGTATCGATGCTTTCCCTCAAAGGATACGGGATAGATTGTCAGAACGTGAAACATCATCAGCCGAGAATTAATTCCAGCAGCGTATTTAGGCAGAACATCTGGACTGTGGGCGTTTTCTAGCGTCTGGCTTTCAAAAAAAAAAAAATCAATGGATTGGCGGTTTGATGTGATAAAATTGACCAGATCAATGAAGTCATTGCCCTTAATCAAGGAGAGAAACCCACCTAGAACTAAGGAGAAATTTTCTGACAGAACAATTAATTAGTAAAACAACCTGCCTCCAGAAGTTGTGGGTGCCCCGTCACAGAAGGAGATCGGACAGCCATTGGTCCAAAATGGTATGGCGTCTCCTACTTGAGCAGCAGGTTGGACTACAACAGGGCTTTTCAACCTTTTCACCCATTGTACCACTTTTAGGATATGGCAACATCCGAGGACCCCCAGTCGCCCAGCAAGCAGTCAAAAACTTGATGACCAAAAAAAAGAGGAAAAAAGTGATAAAGTTACAGGTAGTCCTTGACTTACAACAGTTCGCTTAGTGACTGTTTGAAGTTACAATAGCACTGAAAAAGTGCCCCCCAAGCCACAGCCGAGCAAGACACCTGCCTGCCCGCCCGGCCACACTCTTCCTCCTGTCCGAGGTTTTCATTGTTGTGAGCATTTCTGTTGAGGATTGGCAGCGGGGGTGGGGTGGGGGGTGTTTGGTTTTTATTCCCCCCCCCCCGTCTGCTGGGTGGTTGCAGCAGGTTTTGGTCACTTCACATGACCCTGGGACACTGTGACCGTCATAAATATGAATCAGTCGCCAAGCATCTGAATGTAAATCACAAGACCCTGGAGATGCTGCAACATTCCAGCTGATCGGCGCTTCTTCTGGGCTCAGCAGAAGCACCAGGATCAGTGCCGAGCTCCAGCTGAACCCTGGTGCTGATCCTGGCACTTCCACTGAGCCCTGACAGCCCCGAAGAAGCGCTGATCAGCTGGAAAGCAGCACTGATCCTGGCGCTTCCGCTGAGCCCTGACAGCCCTGCAGCTCCAGCCGTCTCTCGCTCAGGCTTGTGCGGTGCTGCCACTGGTTCAGCTCATTCCCCTCCCCCGCTACCACTTTTCTAGGATGGTCGCGTACCACCTGCCAGGTGCCAATGTACCACAGGTGGTACCCATACCACTGGTTGAAAAGCCCTGGACTAGATGACCTCCAAGATCCCTTCCAACTGTTATCCTTGTTAATAATCAAAACCACTTATTTTAGCATCCGTTTGCACGTTAATACAGCCCCTTCTCTTAGATGCTCAGCTGAATACGGCTATGTTAAACTAAAAAATAAAGTAGGTTTTGAATTCAGCTGAGATAAGCAAGCATTTCAAAGGCGTAAGTAGGTTTTGGAGGTTGTTAGCAGACCCACAACAGTTCTTGAATTGGTTCTAATTCCATCGGTGTTGTGCGATATCACATTTGCGCCACGTGGGATGGCACTGAATCCACGTTGACAGTTTCATCTGATGTCTTACGTGGATCCGTCTAGGGACTTCTGGAATTTTACCTCTGTGGAGACAAACACTTTTTTTAACTTTCACATGTTGATTTATTTCTTGATTTACGTCTTTCCAAATCAAATCAAATTTAACCACTGTCAGTGTCCAGCAGAATGAAAAGAAAACTTCAGAAGCAATGGCTAAATGCAGCTAAAACCAATATAACAGTCTTTCTTCCCGATCTTAAAATGCAAATGTTACAAAAGATTTCAAAATCTTTTTTTTTTTTTAAAAAAAGCACTGCTTATTTTCTGCTCTTTTTTCTGGGGCTGTCACATGCCAGATAATCGATTTAAGAGGAAGGGGAGATCAGTCTGCCACTGTGTATCCTGTTTTATTTTTCATTTGATGTACCAATAAGTTCTTATATTGATTTGAAATTAAAATATAGGGGAAAATAGAATAGTCTCCGAGGATTTGCTGTCAGGATTCCCCAGTATTTCCAACTGGAGATAGTTGCAGAATTCAGCTCACCTTGTTTTTCTTCATTAGCTTGTAAATAATACGAAAGATTTGGGTTCTTTTGGTCTGCGCTGTTATTGTTAAGGTGGAGAGGAGTAAAAAATAAAAGGGGGGAGAGGTAAATTAGGCATATTTTCTTGGCAATGGCTTATTTTTGTATATCGCACGACTTGTTTCTTGCATTGGAGTCCTGATTTTTATGCACTGCTTGTTCTATTGCAGCTCACGGAGTTATTTTGGTAACTCCAGGCAAGTTTTAAATTACAATTACGATTTACTTTTGCTGTTAGTTACAGTTTGGGTTATTTTACCTTGTGGTTTCACTTCATTAGTGTAAACCACCTAGAGAGCTTAGGATATTGGGCTGTTTAGATTTTTTTTTTAAAAAAAAAAATTAATTCATTAACAAATTAGCACGGGCTGCTCTCCGCAGGAGATTCTCGCTGTGTTGAAAATGACAACAGGAGTGACAATAAGCGTCCCAACTTTTCCAGTTCTTTCAAGCTGGCTCCTTCCTAGCTGCTTGCCCTTTAGAAGTGTACAAAAGTGCCACGTTTTTTATTCCCCCCCTTCTCTGATGCCTTGAGCCCCAAAACCCGAGGCATTATAATTAAGATACCCTGAATTTCATTTAAAGAGAACACGGATCTGTATAAAACAGTGATGGCGAATCTTTTAGAGCAGTGGTTGTCAACCTGTGGGTTGGGACCCCATTTGGGGTCGAACGACCATTTCACGGGGGTCGCCAAATGACGCAGTCCGCCATTTTCTTTTCCCCTTTTCCTTAGCTGTGCTACTCCCTTTTATTCTATTGGCTTTTGAAAGTCAATAGAATAGACTCTCTTGAATAGAATCTAATTCTATTGGCTTTCCAAAGCCAATAGGAATTGTCCAGGCTCTCTCTGCCCTGCTGAGCCCGCCAAAAGTCCCATTCTGCAAACGGTGCTGCACCAGTTGAGTAGTTCTTGATTTACGACCAGTTGAGTAGTCCTCAACTTATGACCGGTTGGGGGTCACGGAATTAAAAAGGTTGAGAACCACTGTTTTAGAGACTAATTGCCCAAACTTCAACCCCAAACCCACTTATGTATTGCCGGGTGAACGTGGCCCGCTGGGTGGGCGTGGCTAAAGTGGTCATGGCAGATGGGTGGGCGTGGCCAGAGTGGGCATGCCCAGCCCGATGTTGCTTGTGGGGAGGGACACCTGTGAGAGAGCTGGGAAGGGTTGGGGGAGATCCAGGGGGTCTCTGGCATATGGGGGGGTGGGCAGGAGGCTCGTCCGGGGTGAGGCGAGGCAAGACGAGGCAGGGCGGGGGTGCCATGTCGCAGGGCAAGGGGCTGGGGTGGCCTGACACCATCGGCCCCTGCACACAGAGGCCAGCGAGCGCATGGGTGCTGAGATGCATCTGGCCACGTAGGACCTCGGCGAGTTAGCGGGCGGCTGGTTGAAGAGGACGGTTGCCATCTCCGGGGCATGGCGCGCGTGCCCACAGAGAGGGCTCCGAGTGCCGCCTCTGGCACGCGTGCCACAGGTTGGCCACCACTGGTATAAAACATAGCTCTGTGTGTTTTTTTTGTTTTTGTTTTGATTTTCAAAAAACTGACAGAAGATGGAGCTCTCATCTTGCGCGGAGAATGCTGCAATGTTAAATGTATTTATTTCTTCCTCCAATGCAGTGGTTCTCAACCTGTGGGTCGGGACCCCATTTGGGGTCGAGCGACCATTTCACGGGGGTCGCCAAACAACGCAGTCCGCCATTTTTTCCCCTCTTTTCCTTAGCTGTGCTACTCCCTTTTATTCTATTGGCTTTTGAAAGCCAATAGAATAGACTCTCTTGAATAGAGTCTAATTCTATTGGCTTTCAAAAGCCAATAGGGATTGTCCAGGCTGTCTCTGCCCTGCTGAGCCCGCCAAAAGTCCCATTCTGCAAACGGTGCTGCACCAGTTGAGTAGTCCTCGACTTACGACCGGTTGAGTAGTCCTTGACTTACGACCGGTTGGGGGTCGCGGCATTAAAA